GTTCTTGGCACGACCGGAGAGCCAGTGGCAGTGCTCACACCGCTCGGTTGGACAGCGTTCGGCTGTATCGAAAGAGCAGCTGAAAACACCAGTGAAGATGTGTCATGCCTGAAAAACATGTCAAACTTTGCAAAAACCCTGCGAACACATGTGAAGAAAAGAGTGTTTGAAGATGAGGTCCAGATCATGCAGTCAATGACTGACTTGGAACTGATGCAGGTGAAGTCAAGCGAAGAGCATCTTCTCTCACGTGAAGAACAGACTGCAGTTGAGAAGGTTAAGAAGTCTCTGAAGTACACGGGTAGTCGGTACGAAGCAGCAGTGCCATGGCGCAATGAAGAACCGTCACTCGAGAACAACTACGGCATGGCGATGAGTCGACTCGTGAATACAGAACGATCTCTTTTAAGGCGGTACGACGAAGATCTTCCAAAGAAGTACAATGATGTAATTGAACAGTACGTCCACAAAGGATATCTAACAGCAATCACAGACGAGGAGCACGGACAACTCGAAAGTAAAGTGTGGTATCTACCACACTTCCCAGTCGTTAGAAACGACAGATCGACGACGAAGGTCAGAGTCGTTTACGACGCAGCTGCCAAGTGTGGAGACATCAGCCTGAACTCACAACTGCTCCCCGGTCCATCTCTCTACAGTGACCTGACGGAGACACTCGTCGGATTTCGTCGACATCCAGTCGCCTTGATCGGAGACGTATCTGAAATGTTTCTCCAGGTGGAGCTAGCGCCGGAAGACAGACGATATCACAGAATACTCTGGAGAAACATGAGAACAGATGAAAACCCAACAATATATGAAGCAAATCGCTGGATATTCGGAAATGCTGCCGCTCCTTTTGTTGCTCAGTACGTGTTAAGGGAGCACGCTCTAAGACGGGCGGACGAATATCGACTTGGAGCTGAGGCCCTCACCAGCATGTTCTACATGGATGACTGCATTGCCTCCTATGAATCCAGCACAGTAGCCGCGGAGGCAAGAAGACAAGTAGCTAGGGTACTGCAAGAAGCTGGAATGAAGATAAGAAAGTGGATGTCAAACCGTGAAGAGGTGATGAGCACCATTCCTGAAGAAGACCGTGCGAATGAAGCTGAACATATCATTGAAGAAAGGAGTTCAGCCTCCACCAAAACGCTGGGCGTTGTCTGGTCGACAAAAGAAGACCGCTTGTCCGTCGATTCTTCAAGACAACGCTCGACTGAGATTCTCACCAAGAGAAGCTGCTTGAAGGAGATGGCAGCAGTCTTCGACCCTCTCTGCTTGTTCTCACCATTTGTAGTACGATCGAAGATGCTGTTCCAAGACACATGGGCCGCAGGCGTGGACTGGGATGATCCACTAACAGAAGACCTAGAAGGCAAGTGGAAAGAGTGGCTCTCTGAGCTCGGTGACCTCGGCAGTCTTTCAGTCCCAAGATGCCTGCATCCATATGAAGGAACACCAAAGCAAGAAATACACGTCTTTTGCGACGCATCAGAACAGGCTTACGCAGCAGCAATTTACGTAGTGTCTGAGTATGGTGGCGAGCGCTCCTCACATCTAGTTCTTTCACGTGCTAGAGTCACACCACGGGCAAAGCAGCACACCATTCCACGCTTGGAACTGATGGGGGCACTTCTCGGAGTACGTCTTGTGAAGAAAGTTTGTGAAGTCCTCAAGATACCAGTTGATGACGTTCACTTCTGGTCCGACTCCATGGACGTCTTGTGTTGGCTCCGAAATGAAGTTCGCCGCTTCCAAGCATTCGTGGCCCATCGTATCTCTGAGATCAGAGAGATGACCAAGCCTGACCAGTGGCAACACGTACCTGGTGTCGAAAACCCAGCCGACCTGCCAACGAGAGGTCTGACGATAGAGCAGCTGCGCGTCAATGAACTTTGGTGGCATGGGCCGGCCTACCTGTTGAAAGGAAAAGATCAGTGGCCTCTGAAGAAAGAGTTCAACAAAGAAGAGCATGATCAAACGGAGTTCAAGAAACAAGCACCTCAGAAAACAGTGCTGGCAACTTCTGTTCCAGACATGCCAGACGAATTCCGTCTTCGACCAGAGAACTTCTCTACATGGCGCAGACTAGTGCGTGTAACCGCTTGGGTGTGGCGATTCATCCAGGCGGTGAGGTGTAGAGTAGAACCAGCAAGTGAAGAACATGAAGTCCAAGAAGCTCAGAGAGTAGAGCTAGACCCAGACGAACTGCTGAGAGCCGAGAAGTTCTGGATACGTCAAGTACAAGAGGAGGCGTACGGTTCTGAAATCAAAGAACTACGAAGAGAGAGCGAAGTAACAGGGGAAATCTCAAGCAAGAAGTCACGTAAGCAGAGCTCGATCAAACAACTTACCCCTTTCCTGGATGAAGATGGAATTTTGCGAGTCGGAGGCCGGCTTCAGAAGTCTGAGTTGGCGTTTGATTCAAAGCATCCGGCTATCTTACCAAGGAGACATCACATCAGCAAGCTGATCATTCGACAGCACCATGAGGACGCAGACCATGCAATGGGGACGGAGCACACTCTGTCCGAAGTCAGACGTCACATCTGGATACCAGGAGCCCGTCAACTCATCAAGTCAGTGGTGAGAAACTGCATCGTCTGTCAAAAGGGCCACAAGAAACCGGAAGCACAGCTGATGGCTCCTAAGATCGGCAGTCAAGTTTGTCCATCGTTTCGAGCGTTTGACAAATGCGCAGTAGACTATGCAGGTCCATTCGAAACCAGACAAGGAAGAGGCAAGACACGACAGAAACGATACTTGTGCCTGTTCAGCTGTCTACAAACAAGAGCTGTTCATCTCGAGATGGCCTATGGGCTAGACACGGACAGCTTCATCAGAGCTCTCATGAGATTTGTATCCAGAAGAGGCAAACCGTCTGAGATCACATCCGATAACGGCAGGAACTTTGTCGGAGCCACGAAGGAACTGAAGTGCTTGGTAAGAAGCATTGACTCAAGCAAAGTGCAGGAAGAGCTGTCAAAGCATTGTATCAGGTGGCAATTCACCCCACCAGGAGCTCCCCACTTCAACGGCGCGTGCGAGGCAATGATCAAGTGCGCCAAGCGGGCTCTGAAAAGAACACTCGAGAGGGCCGATCTTACCGATGAGGAGCTTCAAACTGCCTTCTGTCGAGCCGAGGCACTGCTGAACACCAGACCAATCACAGTCGTCTCAGCTGACGCCAACGATGAGAAGCCACTGACGCCAGCAGACTTCATCTTGGGGACGGCTAGCATCGAGACCTCACCGGCATCACAGGATGACGCTACAACTCTTCGGCAGCGCTGGAAACGGCTCCAGCAACTATCCATAGAGTTTTGGAAGCGTTGGCTTCGAGAATATGTACCAGCTCTCCAGGCGAAGTCAAAGTGGTTGAAGCCTCAGACCGACTTGAAATCAGGCGATTTGGTCCTGGTGATCAACGCAAATACCCCGAGGAGTCAGTGGCCACTGGGGCGAATCGAGGAAGTGTTACCGGGGAAAGATGGCCACGTGCGTGTGGCTACAGTGAAACTGCACAATAAGGTCGTGACGAGACCAGTCGTGAAGCTGATTCACATCGATGTGCTCCAGTGAAGTAGTAGCCAGTAGTCAAAGTAGTGGAAATGTGAAAGTGATACCTCTATGTAGAATTGGTTGAATTCGTGTCAATTCAAAGTCGAGGGGGGTGTTACAGAGGTTCTTTTATCACACATGTCGCGTGCACATATGTTTTGTGATGATTATCGTATTGAGGTCGGGAAGACGAGAGAACGAGGGTGAAGAAAATATATAGAAAAATGAGAACGAGGCCATTAAGTTGTTTTAAGAAAGTTAAGCGAAGTTAAGATAAATAAAGCATTAAGTTACAAAGCTAAGCGTAACACAACGCGAGGAAATAACCATTAAGACTATCCGAACACCGTATCAGCCTGCCCTACCTCAACCTTACTTCAGCCACAGTAAGCCAGAGCAGCTACGAGGCGGCCGGACTTGGCCGTGAGATGCCGGACTTGAGTTGTGGCAGGGAGCCGGAATTTTGCCAGACTTGGCGATCCGAAACTATACCAACTCGGGAGCGCTACAAGAAGGCTGGCTAACCGGAATAGAGCCATATCGACTCAAACCCCGGCTCTGACAGCGTTCCCTTTACACCGGCCCAACTCTGGCATGTCGGAGATGCCGGGGCAAAACGAACGTGAGCCCAACCAAATTGCTGGCTGGGTAGATACTGCATAATGCAAAAATTTCCATCCACAATTATATCCAAAAACAAAGGACACCTGAAAGCAATACAGCTACGACTAGAGTTTATGAGCGGATTCAGAAAGGTAAGTTACAGGTTACGCACGCTGCGGGCCCTCGGAGCATACTCATAAAAAATGCTTCAAATAAAAAACTCGTCGATTTCTGTTACCTTCCTAACTGCTTTGAAAGTTTAAGCAAACATTTTCTTTCCAACAGCATGCCGGGTTTACTTTTCGAACCTGAAAACGTTAACTGACAAAATGCTAAAAATTGAAACGCAATAGGGGTGCTCGTAAACCTCCATCACCGCGTCCCCAGATCTGCTGGCACTGAATTCGGATAGATTTAGATATGATTTAGCATTTAGATATGGATGATTATTTATCGTCTTAAAATTTTCCATTTATTATTCTATTGACCAAGTAAGTAAGTACACCGTACACAGCTTACAACTGACTTATTGTAAAAAAAGTGCGGTAACCAGGAAAACGCAGATATCTGGCACTGTGCGCATGGCAATCGTGACAGAACTATCACTTCTGGCACTCAATGTGTATCAAGGGTGTGATAAAGGGCTCACAATAAGGAAATCTAGCATTCACCGTTACAAATTATGTAATTATAACAAACGGCGCCACATCTCATTTTTAATCATGACTAAAGAATTTCAGAAGGTAAATGTACTGCGCATTATTGAACGCAAGGCCCTAAAAACAATGGACTGATGCTGGGCCCATAAAAGAAATTGTCCGATTTCGTCTCACCTGGAAACCAGCAGCTCTGCTCTCCTAGCCGCGGCCTGATGAAGTTTTCGGGCGGCACCAGCCAGTCGGGCGCGTATTGCATGGTGATCACCACGGCTGTGAGCACCAGCGGGCAGCACCAGCAGTACAGCGAGTACTTGACGAAGCGGCCCGTCTGACTTCTGTTCGGAGCCGCCGAGCGGATCCGGCTGGCGACAGGGAGACGGCCAATCAGTGAGATAGGCATAGAACCGATGGACATTGTTCAAGAGGACGGGTAAAATCGGGAGGACGACTTTTTGATATTGCTTTTATATAACGTTTGTAAATAATCAGACATGATTGAGTTTTATTCACGATCGATGGCAACACAAGTCAAATTCCTAAAACCAAATATCAATCAACCAAATAAGTTCAGCATATGAATTATAACATGTCTGTGCGTGCGTGCGTGCGTAATCCGTCATGACTTATGTGTCTTATTGCGCCTGAAAGGCGCCGCGTATCGGCGTGAAATTTGGCATGCCAAATCTGTGGGCGTGGGCGGCCTTTGTATTCAAATTTGGGCGTGATCGGGCCAGGGGTGCGCCGTCAGCACGCGCTCGCGTGCGCCATAGGGTTAACACGGGAAACGGTCAAATCGAAGATCGGGCGAAAACCGGCCTGCGGCGCCCACTTCCCGGGCCCAAAACTCGGCGACAGATTGCCGTAGCGAGAAGCGGTTTACACCACTGGATAGAGGAGAGATGGAACTAGCGTATTGATATGGTTTCATAGTATAGCACGCGCCACGTGCAAGACAGCACCCCCAGTTGCGTAAAAATGACCGATTTCGTGCATTGTGACGGGAAAATCGATGCCGCTGGGAAACGGCTTGACGGAATGAAATCGGTGTTGTATCATTTTGCAGGCAAATGTACGTGTAATCAGAGGATAGCAGATAAAAAGTGATGATCCGTACCATTTCTTTAATAATGAAAAATTAATTTGAAATTTGGCGGTTCATTTATGGTTTTAGGAATTTAACTTGTGTTGCCATCGATCGTGAATAAAACTCAATTGCTTTTATAATTATTATCGTGTTTTTGTTAGAAGGTACGTTTTTTCTGCACCTAGCAATGAACTTTTCCAAGTTTCTTACGTTCCAAACGCAGGGCCAATTTTAATTTTTAATTAAACTATCGCCTAATGCTGACAGCCAGGTTGATCGGAATGAACATGGCCATTGGCCAAAGGTAAATATAGCCAAAGGTAATACGATCTTCATGCTCAAAGTATTTTTTCATAGGTGCGGGAACCAGGGGGCAGTGGGGGTAGTTAGCTCGCCCGCCCCCCCCCCCCCCCAACTCTGGGGCCGTGGGGGCGGTTCCCCATAACTTTGAGACGGAATACCGGACGCTTTATGCAAATGTTTTATTTTTTGTTGAAGAAGTCAAGGGATGAAAAATAAGTGGCCTAAAACCGGTGAGGAAACTACTATGTATTTCAGACCCCGTGAGACCCTGTTTTTCGGCGATAATTTCTTCAGTTTTTGTCTAATTGGCTTGAAATTTTGACATTAGACATTTCAGCTCAAGCGCCGATTTTCATCAATATGGTCTCTTAACAAAATGTAAATATTTAGAGCACTTGTCATTGGCTCGTAATGCTAATTAGATTTTGCACCCGGATAGAGGCTCGTTCGCTACCGCAGCGGATTGGATGGGAGCGCTGGCCAATCACGTTGCGCCGGGCCCAACTAAGCTCCGCCCACTGGCCGTGACCGCGCTGGGTCTATGCAGGTTCAGTCGGCGACAGCACTGCGGGGAGGTCGCACGGGGGCCGTGCACTGGAAACATACATGGAATCGACAGGAAGTGCCTGAGCGAAAGCTTGCTCTTCATTTGGGGGAGTTGGTAACCGCTTCTCTCTTTTTGGTACATCAACACCGATCCCGCTCAGAATATGAAGAATAATCAAAATGAGGATATTAACCTCCCCAGAACCAACATTAAATAGAGAGCTGAGTCATGCACTATCTGAATATCTGAATGAATGCACATTCTGGCGCCTACCTCATGGTCAGGTCGTGCCACTATTCTGTCACCTATGACTTATGACGTCATGCGAAGCCTCTGCACTACTCGAAAATATCGATATGGTTGGCTGCGTCAATTGCTGTTTCTGAAGACGCTTTTATACCTAACTATGCAGAAAAAAACAGAGCAGGATTATTAGTCGCGAGCACTTCCGATTGCCTCAGACATCGCTCCACGAGCTGTGTTCGTTATTCGGGAAGCGTTGAGAAGGGAGCAGAAATGTAATGTGCGATTTATTGCGCATGGTAGAAATGTGACATCAGAATAAGGGAAACAAGCGCATAGGCTAATAAGGAAATCGCGTCTTTTTGTGAAACTAAAGTAACATTTCAAGCTCTCCAATAGTGAGGCAGTAGAGTACTTGCTTACAGGTATCTTAATTATTTGCAGTTCAACACGAAAGCCTGGGGTCAAGTCAGTCCGGTGACCTCAATCTAGCCAATTATAAAATGGGCTAGTTCTGAAGGTGTTCAATCACATGAATCCATTTCAAGCATACGCATAAGCATAATATATTTCATATTTTAACCACACTTCTTAAATGCTAGCCCTGAACTTAGTATTAAAGTAGATATATCTTTATTGATTGACAAGGTGCAGGTTAATTTGCGATAAATGCAATACCGAAGGCTAGTGCGCTAATAACGAGCGCTAGTTTCTGCTGTATCGTTATTACTGCAACGGCAACCGTAAGGCAGCCACGTCCAATGCGAGCCGCCCCGGTCCGGCATACGGCCTTGGGCGCGGCGGCTACTGCCCCGTCGGCTCCACGCATCCGACTGACCGGCCAAGGTCACCGCTCCGTCCGCCGGGAGGGCGGAGCTTAATGGTCACGTGCCTGTGACGTCACGCCTACGTACGGATAGCCTCTACTCCACTGACGGATTTACGGAGCTGATTTTAACATTACGAGGCAACGACAAGTACCCTAACAATTGATATTTTGTTAAGAGACCATATTAGCGAAAATTGGCGCTTGAGCTGAAATGTGCTTTGCGAAAATTTGAAGCCAATTGGATAAATATTAAATAAATTATCGCCGAAAAACAGGGTCTCATAGGGTCTGAAATGCATAGTAGATTTGCGGGTACCCTAGGTTGATCTATATTATAGTGTGTCGGGTGTCCCCCCAGTCTGAAAGCAGTTCCCGCGCCCCGATTTTTTTTTTTTACTTTGTTTTTGTCAATGCCATAATCATTTTTACACCAAGCATAAACGTAGAACATATTCCCAGCTTAAAAATGTAAGTGTTTCATTTTTTATTCCCAATTACCAACATTCAAGTTCCCAGAAGTTACCGAAGGGAATTGCCGCATGCCTCACTCGCAATCAGCCACGATCGGAAACAGAAGGTGACCGATCAGCTGCAGTTGTGGGGGCGTTACAGATGGGGCTCGGCGAGGGATTCCAATCGCAGCTCGCTGATAGACGGACTGATGAGCATCGAATCGAATATGGCTAATGGTTTAGTGCAGCGAGAGAATAAACGTTTTATGCATATAAACTCGATAAACAGATCCATCCGAAACTCAAGCTATCACTATAAAAATGGCTATAAGTTCTCGCGCGAAGTGTTTTCCTTGTTTCCTTCTTTGCACGCTATCCATGTATGATTTCCCAATTATTTCATGCCCTCTTGCATCGAAATGGAACTCCTCCAGCTCTCTTTGTCCGTCGCATGTTACATTCTGTGGCCACTCAGTGCCAGCATAGCAGAATGACAGTCCGTCACGCGACTACCCCGGAGTGACGGAGCATGGCAGAATGCCGGTCCATCCCGCGACTAATGGCGTGTCACTAATGATCTGTCATATGTGTTCCTGACCCTACTCTCTGCCTCCCGTCCTCTCCCCTGTCCTCCCGTCCTCTTCCCTGTCACTGGTAGGATGGCATCCCAGAAAGGGGCCCATGCACGGGTGGAGAATGTTTGAAAAAGTTACCCCGGCCGGCGACCGAAAGTCAGAAAGACAATGATGCTCAAATATTTGTCAACGGTTATCAACAAACCCCTATTCTGTGGCATAGAATAATGGATGCCTGCCGCTTGTACGTTTTTAGGGAAAACTGCTGTACGCAGGTGCGGAAGATTTCGTAATTGTAACAACAATTTTGCAACACGACTTAAAATTTCGGACGCATGTCACCTAGTGCTATAGGTCAGGTCATTAGGTCAAATTTGCTGGATGACCGTGCTAAAAATGCAATCATGCCCTTTGCAAAACTTATTCCGTGGAAGTTGCAACCTTTCCCACACAAAACAAAATGTCAAATTTGACCGTTTTGACCCTCTTGGCTCTTATTGAACATTGATTTGAGCTCGCACCTGAAATATTATTCGCGACCGAGGCTTAAACGAGTAATCGAATGTTTTGTTTGCAGTGTTTAACCCGCGCCCTACTGGGAGGGGGGTGTTTGAACACCCCCCCCCTTGTGGTTTTTCGCGAATATCTCAAAAAACGGCGGCGCGGAGCGCCGCCGTTTTTGGTACACCTTATCATACATCAATTCTACACATGTTGTGAAAATGTCAGACCAAGGTCATTCAAGGTCAGGTCACCAGGTCACTTGAAGTGACCTCACCTCATAAAAAGTTTCAATGTCTGTCATAGCTACACCGAGTGACCGATCGCTTTGAAACTTTTAGCGATTGTCAAGAGCAATAGCATGTACAAAATGTATATCTCAGAATTTCGATATCGATGACCTAAGGTCAGGTCAATTTTGCGACCTCCCATTATAAGTCAATGGGAGAAAATTGAAATGCGCCTCTTTTGGACAAAAGACATTATAAACAATCCCAAACACCGAATTACAAGTGGTTTAGATACACTGAACATGAAAATGGTGTCCGTGACCCTTGTTTATGCCCTGAGGTCATCTTGGGTCATAAATGGTATCTAACAGTTTTTCGCAAATAACTTTTGATAGAGGCATGCTAGAGCGATGAAAACGCCTTAGATGTGTTCAGCTCGACGATACGGATCGACTGATATGCAACATGACCCTTGCCGGTCAGGTCATGACCTTGACCTGAGGTCAAATTTTCAAGTTGACCTTTCAAGGTCAAGTTATAGTTCATTCGATGCGTCTTGACAAGAGGAACACGATGCCGGTAAAAGTAAGCTCGTACAGGGCTTGGGTCAAAAGTTATTGCAGAAAAACTGTTTCCGAAAAAATCGGCTATTTTTGCAGTTTTTGCCCCCTGCAGGCAAAACCGTTGACGTTAGGTCAAATCTGAGAGAATTACTCAGAAAGGGCGTTAATAGGGCTATCGAATGCGCTTTTCCGTGGCGCTGTAGCTCTATTGGTTCCCGAGTTATGCGTTGGCTTCTTGGAAATTTTCGACATTCGACCTGGAAATCGGCGAAATTTTGCCTTCAATGACCTTTGGTGACCTGACCTTTGACCTGACCAAAAAATTGACCGAAGTGATTTCGTCATTATTTTTGACGCTCTTTCGAACGCCGCCTTCCGCGTATCGCTACGTGGCCCAGGAGCCGAGTTACAAGGGGGGGGGGGGTGTTCAAACACCCCCCCCCCCCCAGCAGGGCGTGGAAATCCAGGACCCCCAGCCGGGCGCGAGTTAACCTCCGTTATGTTCATGAACTGTGAGAAAAGTTGTCGGAGAACGCTAAAATCAGAGAAATTTGGCTTTTGATGATCTATGGTGATTTTATTATTGAGCTTGCCTAAAACATGACCAGATTTCTCTGATCACGTTTGTCGCTCTTTCAAACGTCGTTCCGCTTCTCGCCTCGTAGCCCAGTAGCCGAGTTAGAAGGAGCGTGAAAAGCCCACCTCTCGACTCAACGTGTTACGATAGGGCCACCACCCTGGCGCGGGTCAAGTTGGGGGAGCCTTGAGCCCCAGCAGCTCGTCCTTCCATCTCACTGATATTACCCTCGTCCTGTCTTGTGATGTTATTACAGTGCCATCTTACGATAACGGCCCTTAAATATGATTTACTTCTGTTTGATGAAACATGTCGGGCTCCGCGATGAAAAGACTTAAAAACATAAGCTCCAAAATGAAAGTAAAGTAAATTTTCAAGAACTTTTCAAGGTAGATAAAAATAATGAGAGACACTTTTATAGATGGCAGTTTTTTTCGTATGGAGACTGGAGACAGCTTTTAGGATTTACAAAAGTGGAAAAAGTTACCCCGGCCGCGCCGGGGTCGGCTGAAAGTTACCCCGGCCACGGCCGGGGTGGCCGGGGCAGGTTCTCCACCCATGGGCCCATGGGTGGTCTGGGGAGGGGGGGGGAGTGGCAGTTTGCCAAAGACGGAGTATCGAAGATGTGGTGGTGTCTAAAGAAAAGACTGTTCGTCTGTCGAGCTGGGACAGTTTTGATTTCGATCACTGAAGGAATGCTAGTTTGGGCTCATGGCGATGATGTCATTTATGGGATTATGGTCAAGGATAAAGCTAACGATCAACGGTAATGAAGCATTTCGAACAAAACCAGTATTTTCGGAGGATGCTGGAAATCGACCTATTCATTGCAACTTACACCAAACTGAAAACAAAGTGATGCAAATAAATAATTCGAAGGTGCAATCAGCTGGTGCAGCGTTATAGGCTCTGACCATTACACTGACCACTTACACTGACCAGTAATTAAAACGACTCAAAACAACAATTAACTGAAAGCAGTGCGACATATATTCACACACATTTTAAATTCAGGCCCTAAGCTAGGAGACATCAGGCCAGTGAACCCGGCTCATACGTCATAACAACTTTGACTATCAAACACAAAGTAGTTATATTTAGAGGATGAGCACCAACGGAAGCCGATTTATATTCCTAAGTAGGCTTACTTGACGGAATTCACCGTATGTTGGACTCTTCTTTCGTGACAGAGAATCCTAGCAAAATTGGCACCATACACGAAGGCCATTTGCGAGGCAAATTAATTGCAAATACACTAGACCTAAAGTAAGGGCTGTATAGGGCAACCATCACCATTTACCCATCTGATGTGCCAGCCCTGTCCGTCCTCTTTCTCTGTCATTCTTCTGTCTGTTCGTCCGTCCGTCCGTCCGTCCGTCCGTCCGTCCGTCCGTCCGTCCCTCCGTCCGTCCGTCCGTCTGTCTGTCTGTCTGTCTGTCTGTCTGTCTGTCTGTCTGTCTGTCTGTCTGTCTGTCTGTCTGTCTGTCTGTCTGTCTGTCTGTCTGTCTGTCTGTCTGTCTGTCTGTCTGTCTGTCTGTCTGTCTGTCTGTCTGTCTGTCTGTCTGTCTGTCTGTCTGTCTGTCTGTCTGTCTGTCTGTCTGTCTGTCTGTCTGTCTGTCTGTCTGTCTGTCTGTCTGTCTGTCTATCTGTCTGTCTGTCTGTCTGTCTGTCTGTCTGTCTGTCTGTCTGTCTGTCTGTCTGTCTGTCTGTCTGTCTGTCTGTCTGTCTGTCTGTCTGTCTGTCTGTCTGTCTGTCTGTCTGTCTGTCTGTCTGTCTGTCTGTCTGTCTGTCTGTCTGTCTGTCTGTCTGTCTGTCTGTCTGTCTGTCTCCGCTGGAGCTCAAACACGACACCTTCAATAAAATAGCCACAGCTAATGACTGGGCAGGTGTAGAGGAAAACTCACCTGAACGTGAGCCAGATGTCGAAACTCATGGCGTTCAGCCAGAAACACGCCGCGAGGAATGAAAAGTACATCACCAGCGCTGAAAGGTAAGGAAACTCAGGTAAGAGACGCACACACATTCGGTAACAATTTAACATAGATGTCAATTAAAAATCACGCTATCATTAGAAAGCTAAATCAATGGTTCATAGAATAGTATTTGTAGCGATCGAAGGCCCGTTTACCGTATACCTACATAACCGACAATGGTTGTGATTTGTCACGTGAATATATGGTTATCATGTCGCACGTCTTCGCTAGCCCTGGTACATAAAGTACCAAATGTAGGTATTTACAGCTAATATTAGCGTAAGAGGCTTTCGTCGTATCTTTGGAAAAGCCATGTGTCGGAATGTCCTACATATAATCATAGCGCCATTTCAACAGCGACAAACGGATATCATGCCCATCAAAATTACATCCGAAGATATAGGCAACACTCTGCAAAAGTAGAGAATGTCCACATCCATCCCTGTCATAGCATAGGACACAGTATTTGTAAGGTAGCTACCGACCTACTACAGACTCCTGCTAGTCTCAGTTACGCCCCTGTTTTGCATCAATCGTGACGCAGCAGTTTCGCGTCTCACGACCTCCAGCATTGGCCCACTCACGTAGACAAACAGAATTCTGGCTCTAACTGAGCTCACACCGGGAAAACCGTGGCCCCACAGAACCGTGGCCCCACGTGGGGCCACCGACCGACCGCCAACCCCCACGTATTCCCCCTCACTTGACCTACCCCCTCCCCCTCCCCCCCCCCCGGTGAACGATCAGTGAGCGCGCAGCATTGACCGGGCCTAGGCACCTTTCACGACGAACTATTGCAACACACTGGTAAGGTTACGGCGACGAGAAGTGACGGAGAGACTGCGAAATTCAGCGCGTCGCACCGCGCTCATGTTCGGGACTGGGGAGTGTTGGCGGGCCTTGAAGGCTGTGACACCAATCTTTGGAGTGAGGAGTGTTGAGCATAGAAGGGCGCCGGAGGCTGCGACATCACATCGATGACACGAATTTGAGCTCATGACCACAGCGTAAGCTGAAAAATGATGATGATAATAATAACTATCAACTATGGAATGGACGCATCAATTTTGCAAGGACAGATAATTCTAATCGTCATTTTTCCATCACGAAATGTTTGTTCCCTCACACACAAAAAAACATCTCAAGGTAAGAAACGTTAAAATCGTTCTGTACAATTCGAAAGAACTGACATACGATGTTAGACTTGAACAGGAGATAGTTCTGATGCTCTATACACACCATCTAAATACGGGAAATTCACCAGACTTTACTGCTATATCCACATATAATCTAACCACGCACCGGGCCAGACCAGAGATTCTCCTGTTTCGTTGTCATTGTTCGCCACCGCAGCATTGCAGTTTTTTGCCGTTCCCACATAAATATGCATACCGTCAGGCAGCTGATGTGTTTAATGTCTCAACATTGCAACAATACCACGGACAGTCCCCATTCGCCAGGCACGCGATCAAACACTATTTACCGTTTGGTCGCCGCTGGCGCGGCTGCACGCAACAGCGAAACATTCCAGTAGGTACCAACCCACCGGCCCTATGCCACAGTGCGATTCCCCGGTCCGATATACCTACCTAAAGTGGTGACTGCGATAATGCGATTCGCCGAAATCCACAGCGGTTTACATTGTGGAACGCGACTGACATCAGGACTAATCGGTGGCTTTTTGCAAGGAATTGCCCCGCGAAATTTCCGACTCGGCTAACGATTTGAACGCGGGGCTTAATAAAATAACTTTCGTAACGCTTCGATCTGTTTTGCTGTGAGTGTGCTCGGTTAGGTCTATCGGTCAACATCGACTCAACGTTCCTGCGGTGAGCATAGAGATCTTAAATATTATATCTCTATGGCGGTGAGAGGATAAGGCCGAAACACTGGGCCGATGCCGCCTGGCCCTTGACTGACACATGGCCTCAGCTCAGCAACTTCAAGGTGGCCCAATATCATACTGCAGTTCCGTCTGATGACTGATCCCTAACCTCGGCCTGCATGTGACTTACACACCATACCCTTGTAAGGTGATCTCGATGAACTTGTGACCTGTCCAGTGTGAGCTTGTCTGACCTGTGACCTCAAAAGTAGGCTCCGAACTGACCTGTGACCTGTAAACATTCCCTGTTGACCTCCACTGACCTGTGATCTGTTGTGTAGGATATGGTAGAGTGTGACCTCGACTGCGCGACCTCGAGTGACCTTGTGGTCCCTCCATGTGACCTGGACTGACCTGTGACCTGGCAGGCGGCCATGCTCGAGTAGACGACCTCCACCTGCGCAGCCAGGTTACAGCCGTAGGCGGCCAGCAGCGCGGCCACGTGCGAGAGCAGGCACCGGCCGTGCAGGTTGCGCAGCTCTGGCACGGCGCAGTAGACGAGCAGCGTGGCCAGCAGGAACAGAGCCGAGACCAGCAGCAGCGCGCGGTACAGGTGCGTGGCCGCCGAGACGCGCGCGCCGGCCGCCGAGCCCGACGACTCGCCGAAACACACGATCGCCGCGTGATAGTCGATTAGGACGCCCGGCTTTTGCGGGTGCTCGTACTCCACCTACGGGAAATGAGGTCTTGATCAAAACGTGGAATATTTAGATATGCAAATGAAATCAGAGACAAAAACAGTTCTCAAATAGGAATAATATTCCCATTCAAGTGAATAAAAAAGACGATGATCGTACGTATAGCCAACAAAGAAACGGCATGGACAATGGACATTGGTTGAATGAATGAATGAATGAATGAATGAATGAATGAATGAATGAATGAATGAATGAATGAATGAATGAATGAATGAATGAACGAATGCATTTACGTTTAGTGTCATATGGAGCCGTTATATCCATGTGAAACTGGGTATCGTCTGATATCTAGCCTGAAGATCCAGTGCGAACCGTTCACCTGATCGACACAGAAGTCCTCCAGCGGGATGGTGGCCTCCTGGCGCGGCACCCACAGGCGGCCGTCCTCCTTCAGGAAGAACTGGTCGTCGTCCGTGTAGGCCGGCTCCAGGGCGAACACCTTGCGGAAGGAGCCGTCGTCGGCCCGGCACGGCGGGTTGCCGGCCACGGTCAGGAAGTCGGTGACGTTGCTGGCCTGCTGCCAGAAGCCGGGTCGCCATGGCTGCTCGCCCGTCTGCGGCACACATAGCTGGTCGTGCCAGCGCACCTTGAGGCCGCGCGGACAGCACTTGCGCAGGCAGCGGCGCCGCGCACAGGCCGGCCACAGCGTGTGCTCGTCGAGCAGCGAGCTGCGCTCCTGCAGCGAGAGGGTGCAGACGCGCGCCGCCCGGCCGGCCCGCAGCGGCGTCGGCGGTCCGCCCTCCTCCGGCGGCCGCTCCGGCCGCGAGAGCAGCCGGTCGGCGCAGAACGAGAGCGGCGCCAGCAGCGCGTCGGCGCGCCGCATGTACAGGTGGCCCGTGGTGAGCAGCTCGAACCGCTCCCCGGCCGTCGAGTCCAGCCAGAAGTGCTGGCCGGCGCAGCTGACGTTACCGGAGACCAGCGCCGAGCGCGCGCTGGGCGCCACGCGCCGGCCCAAGCGGCCGTTGAGCAGCAGCGGCCGCCAGCGCTGGTCGGCCGGCACCGGCTGGCAGGTGGGCGGCTGGCCATCGGTCTGTCGGACCAGCACCTCCTCGGGCGGACAGCACTTGGTGATGGTGGCCGTCTCGCCCCAGCGCAGGGTCGGCAGGTTCGGCGGCAGCCTGTCCTCGTCCTCTTCCTCTCCTTCCACTTTCTCTTCCGCATGTTCCTGTTCCTCTGTATACGTCCCTTCTTGCTCTCCCTGTTGCTGGTCTTGCGACACTCCATCTCCGTCTTGGTATTGAAGTTGGTCTTGCCGCTGATGATTCTCCTGCGGAGGAGCTTCACTTGTTAGCTCACCCTCACCAGAAGACTGCTGCTCTTCGTTTTCGGGTGGCATTTGTCTCTGCTGCCGTTTCATGCCTGTCTCCTGTGGAAGCTGTCCCTCTTGGTGTGCCTCATCTTGTGACGATGTCATACCTGGCTGTGGCTCGGTCTCTGCCCGCACCTCTTCATGCTCCGCCTCACGCACATCCTCTTCATGCCGTTTCCCCTGATGTTCCTCCACTCCTTTTTCTTGCAGCGACTGATCACTTACGTCCGTTTCCAGACGTTGTTTTTCTGGTTTATACAAGGAAGACCTGCCATCCGGTTCTTCGTGCGGCTGTTGTGCCTCCATCCCTGAGTCCATCTCAGACTTCTGAGAACCCAGCTGTGTTTCTACGGCATGTGACCCTCCCGAGGCTAGCTCTGGATGCTGTACAGGTTGTTTTCTCGGCAAAGTCGCCGACGTTGGATGGTGTTCCTCCTCTTCGAGCTGCGGACTGCTGAAGACTGAGTTCAGGAGAAGCAAAAGTATCAGCCACCAAATAACGATTTTCATTATATTGTTCGGCTTTGCGAACATTTTTTGTTCGTTTGTTTGTTAAACGTTCATGTAGATATTAAGCAATATACACTTCTCGATGAAAAACGTTTATCTGCTACAATCGGCTATCACTTGCACACCATCATATGAGGATGTTTCTTGGCTCACTTTAGCCCACAATAATCTTGTAGTTTATAACAAGTTTGTCCTCACGAATCGCCAAGAGAAGCGTCAGCCGTCTATCGGTGGCTGTTTCATCAGAGCACTTATGTCACATCTCACATGTCGTGCTGCATACGTTTCTCGATTGTTTACCACTGACAGGGTACCTTGAAGTCTAAACGAATCTTGGGATATATGTCACCATGCAATTAAGTCATGAATGACAGCTAGCGGTAGCATTACAATCGGTCTATTATGATTCAATGAATGAATACCGAGGTCCAATAACAATGAAACTCAGTGTGAATGAGATCACTTTACCGAATAATACATCCACACAACACAACGCTAGTCGCTACGTCAGCGTTTGTCTCACACCAGTCCCGCGTTTTGCGTTGGCTTTCACTCGCGACACCGCTTCGCACTCGCTCCCCCTCTCTCCGCTCCTCTCACGCTCTCTCCAACGCGCGTGTGTCCCGCCCCCTCGACGTCCAGTGACAGACTGTCATGCTGCCGTGCCGACTGACCGCCTCCCTAATCCCCCTCCCCTCCCCAAATGCCCGGCCCGTCACCAGACAGGCACAGAGGATACCCATGGCGACGACCAGGGCGCCGCACAGTGGTGGAACCGTGAAGCTGTAGTAAGCCTGCTCAACCACACAGGCTGAAGTCACTTTAGGTAACGTTATGAGCAGACTGGTTTTTGATTCACCTTTTTTGGATCGATTCAATCATTGATTCATTTGATTTTTGTTTGATTCAATCACCGTTTGATTCCTTCAAAAAATTTGGTGAATCGATTCCTTTTGATTCAGAGAATAACAAAAAAAAAACACAATAAAAGGGATGATTCACGTTTAATTCAGCCATTTTTTATTGATTCTTTTTTGATTCAATTAAAAAATAAAATATACAAAATATCAGGAATAGTATTGTAGGTATTTGTTGTGTTCTTTTTGTTGTCATGTAATGGCAATGGTGTTAATATTTGTTGATAATGAACTATGTTCGTTCACTTCAATTTTTTAAGTTCATGAATCATTAATTTTTTTTTATTCAATCAACCCTAATTCCCAACACTGGCGGATCCTGGGGGGGGTCCACGGGGTCATGACCCCCCCCAAAAGGTCTGAGAGGGTCATTTGACCCCCCCCAAAAGCCGAAGACCTAAATGCGCTATAGACGCCGTCTTGCATGCTCAAAATCACCTGTCAAACACTTCTGAGCTAATACCTTTGTTTTTCTGGATCGTGTTGCGTGAAAAGGCGTATTGAAGACCAGAATCTTACTCGTTTTTGTCTCAACCGTGCGAGCACCAGGGGATGATCCAGGAAAACTCCAAGGGGATGGTCATGAATTTAATTCGTGGTGCCCCTACCTATACGCAAAATTAAAAACTCAACGGATTTCGGTCACTTAATTTTGGTGATGTCCTATTTTCATTTTTTATTTTGTTTGTTTTATTTTTAGTGCCCCTGGGCCCTGGCAGGTCAAAATCACGTCTGAGGCGAAAGAAATTCACGGGAATCCCAAAAATCACGTCAGGACATTCAGGGCCCTCTGACCAGCCTGACAGCTAGGGCCCTTCTTACTTCCTGGGGCCTCCAGTGAATGACCGCTAGTGTCTGTGTCTGACCGCTAGGGCCCCTCTGACTCCTCAGTAGGTAGGAGGCCCTCTGTAGAGGAGGTCCTCTGTAGAAAGGAGGCCCTCAGTAGAGAGGAGGCCCCCTGTAGAGAGGAGACCCCTTTAAAGAGGAGGCCCTCTGTAGAGAGGAGACCTGCTGTAGAGAGAAGGCTCTATGTAGAGAGGAGGCCCTGTGTAGAGAGGAGGCCCTCTGTGGAAAGGAGACCGCCTGAATGCAGAAGGCCCTCTGAAGAGTGGAGACCCGCTGTAGAGAAGAGGCCCTCTGAAGAAAGGAGGCCCTCTGTAGAGAAGAGGCCCTCTGAAGAGAGGAGGCCCTTTGCAGAGATGAGGTCCTCTGGCTCTTTGAAGAGAGGAGGCCCTCTGTAAAGGAGGCCCTCTTAAAGGGAGAGACCCTCAGTAGAGAGGAAGCCCTCTGTAGAGAGGAGGCCCTGTAGCTTCTGTAGTTAAGAGGCCCTGTGAAAAGAGGAGGCCCGCAGTAGAGATCGGTGGTCCTCTGTAGAGAGGAGGCCCCCTCTGTGTTTTGACAAATGTTTTTGCAAATTTTTCGCGGCGCTTCGCGCCGCCGATTTATGTACATACGTACAGGTCAATACGAAATCTTGACTGTAATTACCTAAACCAACCGTGTCAAATTGAATCAGAATTCATATGTGTGCTGTAAAGGAACTCCGGCTTGTACTGCAATGCTAAAAGGGTGGTAAAATTTGTGTTTTGGAGCTGTGTTTCGACACATTCTTTTGCAAATTTTCTCGGCGCTTCGCGCCGCCGATTTATACACCAATCAATAAGAGAGAAATAACAGTGACTGTAATAACACCAACCGTGTCAAATTGAATCGGAATTCATATGTGTACTGTGAAGGAACTCCGGCTTGTACTAGCATGCTAAAAAGGTTGTAATATTTGTGTTTTAGAGCTGTGTTTTGACAACTTTTTTTTGCAAATTTTTGCGGCGCTTCGCGCCGCCGATTCATACACAGGTCAATAAGAGAGATCGTGACTGTATGCTACTATTTACTAATGCATTAGGCTAAAAGTGAGGTAACTATATCTACTTCTGGGTTTTTAAGTCGGTCGACCCGCCTCCCCCCCCCCCCCAGTAAAAAATCCGTGGCGACGCTCCTATATAGGTGGGTTTCACTAACTAAAACTACTGAGCCGAGTGACTTACGATAAAACTTCATCTTATAAACGACGAAGATCAAATGTCATTTTTTGATCTCGACATACTCGCTCCCTACCACCCCCCCCCCCCCCCCGGTCGTCAGAATTCATTCACCAGACCTGGTATGTCGGCCGACTGGTGACCCCCCCCAAAACGACCCCCTAGATCCGCCCTTGATTCCCAATGCGTTTGATTCAATCATGGCTTGTGAATCAAACAATCCTGACGGTGAATCAAACGTTTTTGATTCAACAAATTTTGTTTGATTCAATCCAATCGATTCAATCACAGATGAATCAAACACCAGTCTGGCTATGAGCAAGAGATGCTGGCTTGGGGGTAACAATGCCCGTACGAAATACGGAAATGTTTATCACCAGGCGCAGGAATATGATTTACAGCACAGATCATTTCCGCTATTTGTATGAATTTGCGTGCGCATGACACATGAAATGAAGTCCATCGATGAATAAACGGTTCTAAAAGTTCCAACTTTCACGCTGATGAATGGCCTATCAACCAGAAAAGGTCATGGTTATAGAAATACAGCTCGAACTAAAGCATCATTAACTACAGATAACACACATTTCATCCGTGCAATCCTCTGTATGAAGTACCTAGTTTTTGTTATTGGCGTTGTCGTAAAGTTTCATTCGTACCTATTCAAAAACCGAAGTCACGCCTCACGAGTTGGGTAAAACACCACATGTTAAGTCCAGAAAGATTTATTATTACGATGTCATCAGTCATGAGCTACATATTCAAACATGCGCTATGGTGTATGACCCTAATCTCTTTGGCCGTGTTCCTCGCGGCAAAATGGTGGTATGAAGCTGAATAAATAAAAAACGTCTTTTTCAATCCACATGGAGCATTGTAAAAACATAATAAGGGAGCTACGTTCGTGACAATCATAGTCCGTCGTTTAAAATCGATGAAGTTTCAGCTGCAAACCTAATTTAGCTTCCTGTTTCACTTATCCTTGCATTTGTGTAGACTGAGGCCTTAGCATAGTTTTACAATGACTAAGACGATGTATGACAATCATTTTGAACTATATCTCCAATCATTCAATCCACATGGCTACGGCACACACTACGCATTACACAATTAATGCCACCCTGTCCGCTTTAATACTCTGATGCTTCCGAACAGACCATGCTCATTAGCTGAATATGATGGTGCAATATCGTTGTGCATCTTGCAAAGTCTGCAAGTCATTGCAAGCCTGCTCCGTCACATGTACGAGTAGCCGCCGAACACATAAGAGTATGTTTGTCAGTTGGAGTTGATAGTGCAGCTGATCCAGTCCAGGTGCGCCCCGACGTAGCTGTAAACGCCTGGGTTGTCGGGGTTTCCACAGCCGGTGCCAAACGACACTATTCCGGCCACGAACCACCTCTGAACGTTGTTGTGGAGACGTCGCTTCATCAACGGCCCTCCGCTGTCACCCTGCAATGAAAGGAATAGATAGAATTTACGATAGGAAATGATTACAACTTTGATTTCATGATGCTATACCAGGAGAAAGGTGATACACAAGCTAACCGATAAGCACATTTTTATCTTACTTTTTTAGCTGAACTATTTGAGGTCATGGAACGAATAAAAAGAAAGACGGTACAAATATTATGATACTTTTAAATATTTGTCAGTCTATGTGCATTGTGCAGCCAGGCGCGTAACCACCACTGGGGACACTGGGGACCGGTCCCCAGTAACTTTTGGGATACTGGGGACCGTCCCCAGTAAACCGACGACCTCCTGAATTTGCTTAAATGGCCAAATATTGTCTCTAAATCGACGTGAAGAGTAATATGTAGTCAACGGAAGATAAAACTATGGATGTTTTGCTTAGCCAGCGCCCGGGTGGGCCTCTCAGCCAACCTCGCCACGGTGGGGGGGTGGGGGGGGGGGGCTTTTGGCCACACCAGATTATCTCGGAAAGTAAGCAAGCTAGAAAGGCGCGGTGAAAAGCAACAGATAGCTCGCTACAGTATCTTTCAGAATTAGGTACCTATGTCATTTTTGATCAGGCCATCGCTGAGGTCTTTGTAGGTCACCAAAAGTAAAATTTTAATTAACCTTTGCTCCCAATTTTGACAACTTTTCACAAACCGGTGCATAAGTCAGGAACCAAATAGGTAGAGCTGCAGTGCTGCTGCTGCTGGAAAGCGCATTCGATAGCTCTTTCAAAGGCCTTTCTGAGTAATGTTCTCAGATTTTACCTAGGGTCAACGGTTTAGCTTCCAGGTTGGCGTTTTTTGCGGAAAAGGTTTTTGTATCATAAGTTTTGACTTGAAACTTGTATCGGCATCGCGTTTGTTTCGTCGAGACGGGTGGAATGAACTAGGTAAGATAGGTATAAGTTGACCTGAATGATCAACTTGAAAATTTGACCCCTGGTCTAGGTCACATGTTGCATGTCATTCAATAGTTATTGTTGAGCTGAACACATTCATGGTGTTCTAAGCGCTCTATCACTTGTTTCTACCTAAAGTTATGGTTGAAAACTGTTTGAGATGTTTCATGACCTGAGATGACCACAGGGGCATAGAAGGGGTCATAGGTGCAATTTTCCGATTCATTTTGTCATTTTTAGGTACCTGTGTCACGTGGTTTGAATGTGTTTTCGGCCAAAAGAAAAGCATTTCAATTTTCTCCCAATGACTTATAATGGATGTCGCAAAATTGACCTGACATTTTGCGTCCCCGTAGCTCAGTTGGTAGAGCGTAAAGAAAAGCATTTCAATTTTCTCCCAATGACTTATAATGGATGTCGCAAAATTGACCTGACATTTTGCGACTCCGTAGCTCTGAGCTCAGTTGGTAGAGCGTTGGACTCCGCTTGGTGAGAGCACGCGCCACGCGTTCCCATGACGTTCTTTGAACAGATTTCATTTCACGTGAAATTTCACGTGGAATCGGAAGTCAAGCCGTTCTTTACCGATTCCACGCGGAATTTCACGTGAAATCCCGCGGAATTCCACGTGAAATACGGGAATTGGAAAAGCTTGTCCCGAGCGCTTTTTTCAAGATGGCGACGCCCAGTGGAGGAGGGAATGTGAATGTGTGCGTATGATATGGACTGGTTTTGCGGAATATGTTAGGTACCGTTTTTGCCAAAAACCTTTTTAGGGATTGTTTCCGCTGTTACTAACCAGCAAACTGGTGTGGAAATATTAATCGGTAGGTATTCTTACAAGCTGTGTGCACACCAGAGACTTTTCTATAAAAACTCCATCTGCCTCTTATCACTTAAGATGCATCATGTAACTTACCGACAATACAAGCAACGCTAAGTTCAATGCATGTTTCACAAATCTGGGCATATTACATTTATGAAGCCTCTGCGACAATTACGCCGTGAAATTCCCGTGCGGTCGGCAAAGAACGCATCAGCTGACTGAGCCGTAAAATTTCACGTGAAATTTCCGTGCAAGCCTTAGCCTCCTGATAGGTATGGTTGCGGTTAGTGGCAGGCCGTAGCCAGGCGAAGTCAGTGAGGGGACCGGCCATGCGTGGCTATTTGCGCACGTTAAACTTTGGACTCTAAATTCTGCCATAGAACTGGAATTGCGCGATCGGAGGGTAGAGGGCAGGGTCACCGCAACAAGCTTCGCTTAGCGGTGGCTCTGTCCTTGTGAGTCCTTCCTATCAGAAGGTTCGGACTAATTTTTTTTTTAAACATTAGGTCACCGATGTGAAAACTTGATATACGAATTGTTCATACTGATTTCCTCATGCAAAAGCTCGAGTTTCAAACTTCTGGGATAAAACTGTAGGAATGACAGAGTCACAAAGTTTTTTGGAGGCATGGCTACTTTACTTTACCTGGTGACACCTGACCTTAGGTGACCTGGTGTCAAAATTTTCACACATGATGCGAAATTGAGGTATCATAAGCCATACTAAATTTCGCGGCGGTGCGCGCCGCGGTTTTCCTTACACGCGCAAAAAAAAAAACTGGCGGGTGTGGCCAGAAACACCCCCTCCCCCCCCCCACTTGGGCGAAGGCTGATCCTGAAATATAATATTTGGTCTTCGCGGCCCTCCATGTGGTCCCCAGTAACTTCAGAATCGTGGTTACGCGCCTGTGTGCAGCTTGCCTGACTAATATTTATTCAGGAAAAAATATAAAAGTTATCGGACTATTATTACCTATCACTTTAAGGAGGAAAACCGATTACCTAATTATAGTACGAGCATTGCATGTTGTGGTGCTCTCAAACCAAGGAGGCATTGAAGACATGACGCATTAGGTAATGCTCAAAATACCATTTATTCCCAGAACCCACAGCCACGTGGCACATGTCCACCCCTCCCCCACACTCACGTGGCACGTGTCCACCCCTCCACGTTCGTTTTCTCCAATGGCACAGAGCTGCGATGTGTCGACCCGGGTGCCCCGTCTCGCGTAGGTGTTCCGACAGCTTTCAAAGTCGGATATCCGCACACGGCCCCACTGCATCGAGGGTGACGTCAGACCACCTGGTGGCGTCACAGAGAGAGAGAGAGAGAGAGAGAGAGAGAGAGAGAGAGAGAGAGAGAGAGAGAGAGAGAGAGAGAGAGAGAGAGAGAGAGAGAGAGAGAGAGAGACAGAGAGACAGAGAGACAGAGAGACAGACAGAGAGACAGAGAGACAGAGAGACAGAGAGACAGAGAGACAGAGAGACAGAGAGACAGAGAGACAGAGAGACAGAGAGACAGAGAGACAGAGAGACAGAGAGACAGAGAGACAGAGAGACAGAGAGACAGAGAGACAGAGAGACAGAGAGACAGAGAGACAGAGAGACAGAGAGACAGAGAGACAGAGAGACAGAGAGACAGAGAGACAGAGAGACAGAGAGACAGAGACAGAGACAGAGACAGAGACAGAGACAGAGAGAGAGAGAGAGAGAGAGAGAGAGAGAGAGAGAGAGAGAGAGAGAGAGAGAGAGAGAGAGAGAGAGAGAGAGAGAGAGAGAGAGAGAGAGAGAGAGAGAGAGAGAGAGGGTCATTTTTACGCCGTCGTAATGTAGATAGTTGCGAGAGGGATGTTTCCCCTATCATCGAGAGAAGACCTGCGGTGGTGATGCCGTACACTTTTGATGCAATTTAAGTAGCTAATGGTCGCCAAGGTTCTCGGAACCTTGCTATGAGAGTGATTCATAGACATCAAGCATAGCTTGAAGGTAGCATAGCAATGCCACTTTCCTTTGTACGTTAACGATACGATTTCATATAAACGGTATAATTTGGATTTTTTTTTTTTTTTGGACGCCATACTTTGTCAGCATCCATTGAATTATAATTGTCGATTTTTTTTTATCTCACTGATAATAAGATCATGTGAATGTGGCCCGTAATACGCACCGAACTCTGTAGCGCCCCAGCCGGCAACGAAGGCCTCATCTCCCTCCATTTCGAAGACGAACATTGTCCTGCTGTCGAGACAAATCGGCTTGACTGAGTCTGAAAACGGCGCAGATGACAGAATGAGCAACCCTGTCGTCACAATACGTAAGGGTGATTGATAACAAATAAATGTGACAACCAGGAAAATTGTGCGACAAAACATTGCAATACCTCACATTTCGCGTCGTTATTAGCGAAGCATGCTTTAGATAAACAAGGAAGAGGATTTAAACTTCTGTTAATTTTCTTTGTCCTAAGATCAACAAGTCAAATAAAAAAAGGAAAATGCATTTTTACTTTACCTACCTCATTAGCACGAATAACGAAATCACCATTGGTTAAACTTTCATATAAACTCCAGCACAACACCACAGCCCTCCGTACCCCCGCCACTCTTTGCTTACTGACCTGTAAATCGGATCGGTCGGGCCAGCTTGATGAGTGCCACGTCGTTGGAGACTCCCTTGTCGTTTCCGCTCACCACGCGTCTGTAGCCGGGGTGTCTGGCGGTCAACTGAACGGGCACAGTCTGGGGAGGGGACACAATGCTGTCGTCTGTGTCGGTGGCCAGGTTCAGGTCACTGATGACCACGTCCGTCCTGCAATGGAGGGTTTAGAGCGCTGGGTCACAGGGAGTTCGATTTACGGACGTAGGATAGGCCACAACCTAACAGGAGGCCGGACGTATAGACTATTCGAGGCAAAAAGATATAGGGAATTCAGACGGCAACATGTCATGCACGCTGAACATTGAATAGTGGTTAGTGAACATGGGAAGCCAAGCAAAGTTAAATTGGAAGTCGGAATGTTTGTCATGCTGCGGCGCACAGAACATCGGAAACATCGCGCTTTGCATACTTTTCATATTGTATTAGTTGCGAAGCAATATTTCACACTATTATTGGTAGAGCAAACTAGCGACTTTAATCGGATATTTGTAAGACAAATTACAAAATATGGATACGAAATGTAATTAAAGACATAGTTCTTACAGTCCAAATTCAATGAATGTGTAAAAACGTACCCTGAAGCTGTAAATTTATCACAAATGAAAGCTCTCCTTCCCCCTTTCCCCGTACTTACGGTCCATCGCTGAGCAGACAGTGCGCCGCTGTGAGTATCCACCTCTCATGGATGATGGCCCCTCCACACTTAAACCGCGGCTCGGAGCTATACTTCAGCGCAGCCATCCACGGAAAATCTCCAAGGGACTGGACCGGTACCCCATTCACCACTCGGGACGGACTGAAGGGCGAGCTGCCGCAGCTCGAGGGGGACCGGAATTTGGGACAGGAGGGGGAGAAGAAGGAGGGAGGGGGCCGGGGGCGCGCGGTGGGACGGGCGGTGGGGCGCGCGGTGGGACGTGGGGACTGGGGAGCGGAAAAGGAAGGCGGCCGGCTCTGGCTCGGACGAGAGGCGAATGTAAATGAACCGGGAGAGCTGGATGGGCTGGAGTCGGCTCGGCTGAGGTCGGCACAGCACTGCAAAATAAAGACGAGATTATATGAGACTCTGAGAGGGATATATGGTAGCATCTGTGCTGTTCTGACGGCAAAATATAATTAGATCAAACGCACTTTTAACCCTCGCCCGCACATGCCATTTTCCCATCCTAGAACGCACATGGGGGGGGGGGTGGTTGCCACCCCCCCCCGCGCCATTTCGTTCCTGTTGGAGATAGAGCTTAGCAGTAAAGACCAAAAAGATTCTTTGGGAAGAGTCGAATCCAATGATACCCAGTTTTACCTTCTCAGGTCAGTCATTGACCTTCCAGGTCAGGTCAAACTAAAAAATGTTGCTGTTTTGGGTCACCGTTGGATATCAAGTGCGCTGCTTATCAAATACCGATGACGATGCTGTTTTCTGGTGCCAAGCCAGTGTTACAATTACTTGAACTTTATTAAACTTAATTTAAACACCAAGGTAGCACTGTAACCGCTTACTAATGCTCAAAACTCTCGGCCACACAAGCCGGCCGCCCGCCGCCACACAGGTCCGTCGCGAGAAGGGCAAACAGCGCCTCTGGCGGCCGGCCGACAAATTACGATCAGCTGATCGACAAAACTGGGTCACCGGATCGGCGCGCGGCGGCCGATCGTCAACAGCGGCAGCTGATCCACAACACCAGCTAGAACCTCTTTGTCACACTATCCGACCAGAATTTTGCTGCTGAGGTCATTTCAGGTCAAGTTAGGTCAAGGTCAATTATATGTGTTTGTATGTCTGTGTGTGTCTGTGTGTATACCTACTGATGTGTGCACCGATTGTTTTTGGGTCCATATCCCATGAAATCATGATCTGAGAAGCTTTTACCAAAAATGCAGTCAAAAAACTTCACAAAAAGTAAATTCAGCTTGCCTAAAACGCAATTATCTTAGATGACCTAGGTTGACCTTGACCCTGACCTTGACCCCTGTACATCGTCGAACAACATGTTCCATGATAGGTGGGAGGTAAGACTGGCAAAAAAGGCCGAAATCAGGGTGGCAAAAGCTCACAAGGCCCATGGCAAACGCAAGATGTTGAGAATTGGCCATTTGGGTCATGACATGACCTGAAAAACAAGGTCATATCTCCGAAACCAAAAATCACAGAAACTTGAAATTTTCAGTGGACATCAAGAAAGGATAGACGAGCAGCTATACGAAAAATCAGCCTTCTAGCTCTAAAAATGTTGAGTGCAGAGCAGAAAGACTGCCTGGGGGGGGGGGTGGCAACCCCCCCCCCCCATGTGCGGGCGAGGGTTAAGCCTGGCTAGTGTCTGTTGTCTACTGTCTTCCAAACAACACCGTGAATGTAAGGATTTCGGATAGAGTTCTCTATGTCTACATTCTCTGATATTTTTGTATGTGGATGTAAAAAAGATATAACACAGTAGCTCGGGACACCATGTCATAATTGACGCTCGTCATTTGCTCACCAGCTGAATCTGGCTCCGCTCCCGTCCGCAGTAGGCCCGGCGCAGGTAATCTGCGTCCCTCTCTCTGATCTTCCTCAGCACCGTGGCGCAGCCGTCCGCCGGCCCGCAGACCCCTCTGACTCCCTCAGGACTGGTACAGGACCGGCCGGTACCGGTACCGGTACCTCCGGTACCCCGTCCAGGGGAGGGAATGTCGCGGACGGGGATGGAGGGACTCGGGGGTGGAGGGACGAAGGGACGACGGGCGGGGCTAGAGGGACGACGGGCGGGTGTGAAGGGACGGCGAGTGGGGCTGAAGGCACTTCCGCTATTGGTGCTTGTGCCACTGGAGCTACCGCCGAACACAACTGAAAAGAGATGAACCATGTTTTAACCCTCGCCGGCACAGGCCATTTTGAGTCCTTCGACGGCACAAGTTGGTACGACCCCCCCTCGCGTTTGGCCCCTGATCAAGCTAGAGCTTCGCGGAAAAAACGAGCGTGTTGCCCGTCACGAGAGGAAGCCGATGATACCCAATTGTAAGGTCCTAGGTCATCGGGTGACCTTCCAGGTCAGGTCAATGACCCGAAAACCGGGAAAATCGGGACCTGTTAGAAAGTCATAAAGTGTGGCTGCTATGTGGTTTTCCGGGGTGCTGATCACGAATATCGTGTTAGTTTTGACCATAGATGATGTTTTTAAGCATTTAGACTAGGTCGGGTCAGGTCAGGTCAGGTCAACCGGTAGGGGCTGTGACGGGTATTCGTAATACGTGTCAACCGCCTCGGACAGCTTCGTAACATGTTACGAGGACACCAAAAGCACTTCGTAAATGTTCAAATGGTTGCTAAATTCGAATTCAGCTCCAAAAACTAGCCTAGAAACATGTAACACTCGAAAAAGTGAACCGAGGTCACCCGAGGTCACCAAAGGTCAATGACCTGACCTGACCTTCAGGTGACCTTGAAACCCACCCTAATGCATGGGAGCAACATCAAATCACATGTTTGAACGTTTGAAACCACGAAAAGCTTGCAAACGCGCGGCTAATGCGAGCCGACATGCGCCGAACCGCGATTTCGGCCAAACATGGTCACAGAAAAGAGGTCACAGATCAAAGGTCATTGGGGTCAGGGTCATGAAATTTTCAGGGTAGGTGTAAAATTGATCAATGCGAGGGTACTGAAAGTTTCGTCGCGATCGGCCGCTTTTTACGCGAGTTATTCGCGAAAAACCTTAGGGGGGTTGCATCAACCCCCCCCCCCCCTGTGCCGGCGAGGGTTAAATGTCGTTACAACTTACAACGAACTCTTTAATTTCTAAGAATGCATGCAAACATGATACAAGTGTAAGTGCAGTAAGCATGCTACATAATATTATCTTTTAAGCATATATTAGTATCTGCTGTCACAACAGAGAAATGTCTAAATAACCATCCCTCACCCGACCCGACGTACTTTGTCCATTGGCGACTGCAGAGACGGCGCAGAGAACAAAACACCAACACCACATGGCTCTAACGGTATCTCGCACCCCGTCAGGACACCTCTTCCGCACTGCAGGACTGTTCTCTGCGAACTAACTGCAGATGAATCTTCTCCGGTGCCTTCGGAGGTCACGGGCGGATCCAGGTGTGGTGGAAGGGGAGGAGCGTATCGCAGGGGCGGTCACAGGACTCATTGGAAGGGGGACGGGCAGTGGCTGCCTCACGGGCATCGGGGGCGGGATGATTAGATGAGGATGATGATGCTAAGGAAATTATCAAAGAAATCGAGCAGAGCGATGCGACGCATTCCTCACGCACTAGCCTCTCTGTGGTAGTAGGTATATTTACTACCGCACTAATGCCCGATTATTCTGGTGCCATGTGAACGGTGCTCAGAGACCCCCGGCACTAACACGCGCGCCGGTTGGATTTTCCGCCGACAGTTCTCAGACACGCTGCATACCTAATGTGCCGGCGAAGGCTGAACATTGCGCAACCAGTGGCGATTTAGTCATCCAGCTTCCTGAATCTGCGCTCCACAAATAGATACATGTACTGAAATGATGTACCTACTGTACTGAATGTATGAAGTGTACTGTACTGAAACCATATCACTTGAGAACTGAAAAAGGCCCAATTTCCTGGTAACCATCTGAGAGGTCATAGCGACAGTGTTGCTATAACTGTTAAATGCTCGATTCAATGCCTTCACGAGGCTAATTGTAGGCATAGAGGTAGTCCCTCAGTTACATCCGCAGCACCGCCCCCCTCCCCCCAAGTCATTTGCGTGCAAATTGCGGGCTGCAGCTGTCATTACCTTCTTCCATCATCAGCACCACATGTCTGATCGATGCATAGATACAGCTCTATAATGTCCCTAGCATTCAGCTTGAAGAGAACCGGTTGCAGCTAGGCAATATGCAATAAGCGGCAGCAGCTAAAAGCTAGCAATCATGAACCCTCAAACACACATATTTAAAAATGGAATAGCTATTTCGCTCTAAAGAACATCTGCATGTCGAAGAACGTCAAAAGCTGTTCCTAAGTTGTAATTATTCATCCAAGGAACCCTAATGATTCATAAGCCGTTTCGCTCCGGGATCATCTGCCCCCAGATTCACATTCGATGACAACACAAAAGCAAATATTCTAAATAGCCAGATCAAAAATGGTTGAATGGTTGAAAAATGTCCAAGTCATGTGTACTTTGAAAGTGTAAAAGATATTGATTAATTTATTAATGTATTAGTATCTCGATATTGTCACTGACGAAGGTACCCTGAGGCCGAAACGTCTGGCTATTTAGAATATTTGCTTTTGTGTTGTCAATTGTCATCGAATGTGAAAAAATATCACAATGTCTGACACGATACATGCCCCCAGATCATCTGACTCAGACGAGAGATAAGCACGTGAGGCAGTCCTCGTTTCGCTGAGTCGCTGCTATGATAATCGCTGACGCGCTGTTTTGGTGCTGAGTCAGTGAAGTGTGATAATAGCCAGCGAGTTTTTGTCAGTCACGTCACTGAAAAATAGGCGCATTCCAAACACCCTGCGAGTGGTGAAGATGCGTTATAGCTGGTTGACGTCATTTTGGATGCGAGCAGATATAGCTAAGTGTTTATTTGACGTCTAGCCCGGGTCATACCACGATATTATGCTTCACATTCTCTTGTTGCTATTTTAATGTAGGTAGGTACACCTACTGGATTTACTATGAATTATTCAGCATGTAAGAGTGTGTCTAAATATAATATACAATTCGATATTTCGAATTATAGTGAACAAGTTGCTGTTTGGTTGACCTTAACCACTGCATCTAAAAGTTGTTGCATGGTAATGACTGAGTAAGTATGCATTCACAAGTTAGTCCGTCTTTTAATCAGGCATCCTGATTTAATCAATTCGCTGGTGTTGCCAGCAGATGCTCCGGCCACCTGCACACTAATTTGCAAATATTCTCAGAAGATATGTACATTGTATTTGCATCAAACCACCTGTACCTACATATGTGTGCATTGTGCTCCAGCCCCTGGGCAGTCGTTTGGCCCTGTTCCGCGGCCCAGCCTTGGCCTCGGATATACTGGGAGCTGCAGCCATGCAAATGAGGCTGGATTGTTCCGGACGGCTCGCCGGGAGTCTGCAGTGGTTTGGCCGGGACTCGGGCTGCATCAGCCGTCGGAATAGGCAGGAGGACTGAGCGACGCAAAACCCATGGGCTCAATCGCACTGTATATACTTAGGAAGCACGGGCTGGTTGGAAACAATAGACGCGTTTACATAGGGTTTGTTGCAAGCTTATATATCCGTCCGTGATGTTGCAAAAGATGCCAATGGTGCTGAACAATTTACAAAATGATCCCCTCTAAATATTTGAAGACCACTGCATCGAAATTATCGCCAGATTAACGAGCTAGAGCCTCGTCAAATATGCTATGTAAACCGGGTTAATGCAGTTCAGATCCGCACGAAGTAAGTAAATACATAGGCACGTATAGGTATACTAAATACTAAATCGTATGGAGTATAGTTTATCCCTCATGTATGAATACTGAATAGTCGCTGAACGCAATCGCCCATAATTGCGATCTAAGAATGTCGCGCAGGCGATGCTTTATCTCTTGAACCGTTGAAATGAGACGAAAGTTTTCTTATTTGGCATTGAAAAAGCCGAATGCGTAAATGTGTGGAGAGGAATGTGTGATGCAACGCAACAGTAACAGAAAATATCCGTGAGGAGTCTGATATATCGCATGCGGAAGCTTTCCCTAGGTACCGACCTCTCACCAACGGGAGTCTAGCCTTTTATCAACCGAGCTACGGGACGAACTTGACGCACTAACTACACGTCATTCGTCCACTAACCCCTTATGAAGACGAAGTTACACCATTGCTTACACAGCCGTGTATGCTGCAGCTATTAAGATATTCAATTGCGGCATGCTGGTCGAATTTTGGCATGAAGTTTTCACACTATATTTTTGGGTGCTCAAAAGATATTGCCATGATACGAAAAGTGCTGAGGCTCCAGCACCTGGCACCCGTGGCCGGTAAGCAGAATTACTTCCTTAATTAAGGGTAGAAGTTCCGATATAAGGCTAATGCTGTAGGCGTTGCACCTCAAACGTTATAAAGCAATAAGCACAAAACAGAGGAACGAAAGGCATGAAATATATATTATCTAAGTGCATGCATCACACAGGACAGAATTACACACAACACAATAACACACAACGCAGTGCCAAGAAAATAAAAAGGTATCCTGATACCACAACACTTGACATAACCCTCGCATGTGTGCGGCGTTTGCCAGCTTCTAATGTGTAGGGGGGGGGTCGGTTGGACCCCCCCCCTTGCCGTTTGGCCCCTGATTGAGCTAGAGCTTCGCGGAAAAAAACGAGCGTGTTGCCCGTGACGAGAGGAAGCCGATGATGCCCAATTTTAAGGTCCTAGGTCATTGGTTGACCTTCCAGGTCAGGTCAATGACCCAAAGTCGGGAAAATCGGGACCTGTTAGAAAGTCGTAAAGTGTGGCTGCTAAGGGGTTTTTCGTGGTGCTGATCACGAATATCGTGTTAGTTTTGATCACAGATGATGTCTTTAAGCATTTAGACCAGGTCGGGTCAGGTCAGGTCAGGTCAACCAGTAGGAGTCGTGACGGGTATTCGTAGTACGTGTCAACCGCCTCTGACAGCTTCGTAACATGTTACGAAGGCACCAAAACTACTTCGTAAATGTTCAAATGGTTGCTAAATTCAAATTCAGCTCCAAAAACTAGCCTAGAAACATGTACAGCTCGAAAAAGTGAACCGAGGTCACCCGAGGTCAATGACCTGACCTGACCTTCAGGTGACCTTGACACCCACCCTAATGCATGGAAGCAACATCAAATCACATGTTTGAACGTTTGAAACCACAAAAAGCTTGCAAACGCGCGGCTAATGCGAGCCGACATACGCAGAATCGCGATTCCGGCCAAACATGGTCTCGGAAAAGAGGTCACAGGTCAAAGGTCATTCGTGTCAGGGTCATGAAATTTTCAGGGTAGGTGTAAAATTGATCAATGTGAGGGTACTGAAAGTTTCGTTGCGATCGGCCGCTTTTTACGCGAGTTATTCGCGAAAAACCATGGGGGGGGGTCCATCCGCCCCCCCCCCTACACATGCGAGGGATAACTTATCTCCCACAGATACCACCAAATGAATCCTTATCACAGCTATTGGACACAGCCTTACACACACACAAAAAAAAAACGTTAGACGGTTAGAAACTACTCGACTATGCACAAACACTGATAGTTTTTTTTACGTATCCTGCACATGCTGGTATAGATCACTTTTCATTTTGTTTAACTTGGGCAGTGTGATACAGGGAAAATATTGTAAAAAGGCCGCGAAAGGGTTTCGACGAATCAGAAAATGTTTCATTTATCCCTTTATTGTCATTTGTTGAAGAAAAGCAGATTGAATCTGTCCCAGTCAAGTCTCACCAACAAAACTTTATACATAAACTCTCAATAACTATTTTGATCAACGCGAATATGCATCTTTTATTGGCATAGCTGTCACGCTCATCCACATGCGGTAGCCCTTCGATTCGAGCTCCGATTTGTGAAGTTAGGCTACCTTAACCTAACTACACAAAAATGTATCGAATCGCAATTGGCAACCAGAAGCGACTACTTATGTACTACTCAAAGTACATGTTTGATTATACAGACACAAAAAGAAACACAATAGTACAACGCAACACCACAAGGTTAAAGTCACTGTCCGTTAACTTCCATAACATCTTTCATCCAATCCAGATAGTTGTCGACTCTTGTGTAGATTCCCGGAAATTTCGGGTTTCCACATCCGACGGCAAAGGACACCACTCCAACAGCAGTGACCCGAGATACGCCCTCCAGGCGCTCAAAGGTCATCAGAGGGCCGCCGCTGTCACCCTGTTGGAGAGGAGAAAGAGGGAGAGAGAGAGAGACAGAGAGAGAGAGAGAGAGAGAGAGAGAGAGAGAGAGAGAGAGAGAGAGAGAGAGAGAGAGAGAGAGAGAGAGAGAGAGAGAGAGAGAGAGAGCACAAATGCTCAGTTATGTACGAAGTCGCCAACGTGCCTTGATGAAAACACAGGCAAAGGCAGATAAAATAACATTGCAGAAGCATCAGGGTTCATGGGATAACTAAAACGACCCGAATAGGATAAATTTTAGAGTTGGACTTTTTGAAAACTTGAGGCTTATTCCTATTACATAAATTGTTTTTGGTGAAGGAAAAGTCATCTTTTTTTTGCAAATTATAACTAGCCTACAAATTACATTCTTGCGTAATTATGTTATCTCAAGGCACTTTATCGAATCAACAAGAGAAGACAGAAAACTAAAACAAACACCACCATACGCCCCCCCCCCCCCCACCTAACCACCACCACCTGCCCTTTCCTCTTACCTCACAGGCGTCGACGCCTCCCTGACATTCGATCCGGTCGTCCCCGGGTGAGCAGCCGGGCAGGGTACGGTCGGTGACGTTACCGCTGGCGCAGGTGTGCTGCATGGGGTCCACCCGGGTGCTGACCGTGCCATAGCTGGTGCGACACGTCTCCACGTCGGTGAAGTTGACACTGGCGTGCTGCATTATGCTGGAGGCGACGCCGGCTGGGGGAGGAAGAGAGTGTTGGTTATGATGGTGTTCGTTATGTTGGAAGTGTTGATGGAAATTTCGTGATTCGTGCTTCGTGATTCGTGAAATTATTGCATCATGTTCATCGAGATCAGAGGTCTGGAATACTGTCTGGACTTGGAAAGAACGCCAGGAAACAATATCCAGATTCAAATCTAGAAGCCACGCGCGGATCATCTTACCGAATTCGGTGAGACCCCATCCAGCGATAACGGCCTTCCCAGTCATCTGATCAGCCATTCGATGAGTTGGCAGACAGATAGGCCGGACAATATCTGAAACGTGACACATGTTATGTCAGCTTATAACTCTGAGGTCTTTAGAAAGTCAAGTATAGAACTATCTTGGGTGGCAGAAGCACATAGTGGCCATATTGTTTCTTTTCTTATGAATTAAAGGGTAACTCAGTTCTGTACTTTTATTCTCCTTCCATAAGAGGTTGAAAGTATCATAGAAGGATTGATGATGTCCTAGCAAGCATATTTCATTAACGATCATAAGCACGACGAAGTGGCACATCCGGTATCGTTATGAAATATATCCAAAAGTCCATAGATAAATCTACCGTTGTACCTGGACAACAGATATACCGAAATGATGCTCACCTGAATACTGAATATCTTCCTTGAGTTTGATGAGTGCGACATCGTTGATCAACCCCTTAGGCGGCCTGTAGCTCCGTTTGAACTCGGGGTGTCCGAACTCTTGGTCTACGTCGATATTCTGAGGCGGATTGATGAAGTCGTCATCGGTTGAGGTGACCAGGTTCAGATCCCCGATTCGCGCTGAAACTCTGTGAAATAAAGACGCTCGGTCACATTGGGCAAGGATTTGAAAGCAATATTGCAATCAATAAATTGAGAAAGCAGCATAAGCATTTATCATATTTCCTCTCGGTGTATCTCGCCCGACCCTAGTCCGAAACTCACATTTTTTTTTCTCTCTCTCTCTCTCCCTCTCTCTCTCTCTCTCTCTCTCTCTCTCGCTCTCTCGCTCTCTCGCTCTCTCGCTCTCTCTCTCTCTTTCTCTCTCTCTCTCTCTCTCTCTCTCTCTCTCTCTCTCTCTCTCTCTCTCTCTCTCTCTCTCTCTCTCTCTCTCTCTCTCTCTCTCTCTCTCTCTCACACCCACCGCAGAGGTCACTCACGGGCCGTCATGTGTAAGACAGTGCGCAGCGGTAAGCACCCATCTCTTTCCAATCACCGCTCCTCCACACTTGAACTGCGGCTGACCGTTGTAGCCCAAAGCCACCATCCAGGGGTAGTAGCCCAGTGCGCGCACCGGCTCCCCGCCTACAATCCTCGGCGGCACGACCTGGGTCAGGCCGCACTCGGAGGGTGCTGGAGGCGGAGTGGGCGCTCTGTCTGGGCAGCACTGCAGGAGGGGAGGGGGGGGGGGTGAGAGGTTTGTGGTGGAGGGGGAGGGGTGCAGTGTGAGATCCGAGAGGTTTGTAGGGAAGGTGGCTTGTACGTTTTGTAAAGTAGGTTTGTAACGGAAAGCGGTTTGTAGCGATGTATGTAATGTAGGGGGACAGGGAATGTTCAAATGACCTGGCTAAGACATGACCTCAGGTGATAGTGGGTGACGGAAAGTGAAGGGAGGTGAAACAGGATAGCGTGCCCCATGATTTCATAACGGGAAAGCAACATTGAACTTTTAAACTTATACCTAAATCTGAATCGGATTAGGCTCACACGTCAGACCGAATAATCATTTCTTTGCGGTTTTTCACTTGGTGAAAATAATTGTTCACGGCTTACTCGAAATGTTTTAGATATGCATTCGTTATAGGTACCAGGAACTTTGAGATCATGCCGGCCCCCGCGCCGCAGTTTGTCCTCTTGTCAGTTATGGTGAAGCCTTTGACCGCTGTTATGTGACCCCTGACAAACAAACAGGTGGCGAAACGACTCAGGAATGCGAGCTTGTCAGGAGAAAGTACCAGCAATGACCAATAGGACGCGAGCAGAACAGCATCAGGTCCGATTACCACGTCTTAGAAGCCTTTTTATCATTGAGTGCATGACGAGAAAGCCTTGAGAAGGCTCAACTGATCATGTGGTATCAGGATAACACATCAAATCCGTGGCATCGGGAGCAAAATTAATCGCCTCAGAAAGTAAAACGAACGAACAGAGGGAAAAGGAGAGTCTCAGGCGTCTTGTTCTGGGAATGGAAGCGGGATGTAACTGATCAGGTTAGCAAGCATATGATATGCAGGAAAATCATGGCTTAACCCTCGCCCTGGCAGGGGGGGAGGGTCGATGCGACCCCCCTAAGGTTTTTCAAAGATAGCGTAAAAACGGCGGCGCGCAGCGCCGCCAAATTTGGCACAGCCTATGGGGCAACCTTTTTACATATGACCTGAAAAGTTCAGGTCCGGGTGACCTTGGGTCAGGTCACCAGGTCAGAAAAACCGGTACAAGGTCATGGTCAAATTTCAATTTTCTTTTTGCACCTGTCCAACTCACAGTTTTCGACTGATTTCCTTCAAACTTTCAGGATGTGCTAAGTTAACCGAGTTGTATAACATATAGTCCGGCTTTTTTTAGGTCACTGACCTGAGGTCAGTTAGAGGTCATTACGTCGTAATGTTAAGCCTATGGGAAAATACTAAATTCGGAAAATACTGGAGATATCCGCTTCGTTCTATCACTTTTGTGCTTTGAAACCACGGTACTTAACAGCAGGTCACTTGGTGCTTCTTTGTTTGGTGTACTTATCCATGGGTCAGGTCAAATGAGGTCAACTGAGGTCAAATGACGTTTTTGCCAATAACTTGGCACATAATGACGCTAGAGCTTAAAAAATGGTATCATTGTGTTCCTGGTGATCAGCCGAATCGAATGATATGCGATATGATGCAATTCGGTTAACATGAACTTAATTTATTAATTTAAGTTAACTTAAAATTTAAGAAAAACTTTAAGTACACTTAAGCAAGCTTAAAAGTATATCATTTGACGCGCCTTGACGTGCTGAGTTCACTGGTGCTTCTTTTTTGCTCTATCTTAATTAGATCAAAAGTTATAAGCGAAAAACTTTTGACCTGTTTTCAGCGAAATTTTTACATTTATACCCCCCAAAACCCCCCTAAATATTGACCTAGAGCAACTAAATTGGCATAGGGGCGAGAAATCTATGGGGCCCACCTACCTACCAAATTTGGTGTTTCTAGGTGCCATAGGAGCCAATCGCGAGGGGGGGGGGGTCGCATCGACCCCCCCCCCTGCCAGGCCGTGTTATGAAAAATGCCCTGCCAGGGCGAGGGTTAAACATTTTGAAACATAGGTACGATAAAATCCTATATGATCAAACTCCGCATAATAAAAAATACCTATGCACTTTTGATACTCGTTATTTAACCCGCGCCCCGTTGGGCTCTGCCGAGCAACGCGCCCCGTTGGGGGGGGGGGGCATTTTGGCCCCCCCCCCCCTAAGATCTCGAGAACCACGCAACCTAGCGACAAGCGGCAAACGGTGTTGGATAGCCCTATCAGGGAACTACCTTGTGACCCAATTTTATTGACCTAGGTCAAACCGATGACGTCACAGGTCAGGTCAAAGGTCCAATTTTCACCGTTTACAGGCATTTCAAGAAATGCGTTGTAAAATCGAGTAAAATGCATTTCATTGAAAATCATCGATGGGGAAATGTTCTTCAAACACATATTTTGCTAGTTGAGGTCACTGATACCAGGTCAGGTCACAGAGGTCAGGTCACTGGGGGGTCACAATATGAAAGTGTCGTGTGATACGTGTTTTATGGTCCATTTTATATGACAAATGCGATTATGTGGGTCAGGCAGCCTTTGGGGCCAGCTTAGGTAACGTTTTGGTCAAGGTCAGGTCAAGGTCAGGTCAAGGTCGGGTCAAATTAGGTCAAATTTCAAAGTTGTTATTTTTGCATAAAATGGGTATCGAATCGACGCAGCTCGTCACGGGGAGTTCAATGGTGGTCTTTGTTTTGCCGTACGAGGTCTAGAATCGCTAAAAATTGAGTTCAAAAATTTGACGTCATCATTTTTGAACAGTTTTTTCGCTATAACTTGGCCAAAAAACAAGATATCGATATGAAATTTGGTATGTATATAGAAGAGGGCAGGGACTATCACATATATTCCGGTTTTTTTCAAAATTCGGAAAAATTTTGGATTTTTTTCTAGTTTTTCTAAAAAAAATCAATTTTTTGAAATTTTTTGGGTCAAAAACCCAAAATTACGAAAATCCGAGATAGCAGTTTTGTAGCGCCGCTTTTTGTCTACTAGACCATATAAAGAACTTTGAAATTGCTTGATAACTGTAGATTTGGTGAGCGTTTAAAGATTGCATGTTTTTTGCTCATTTTTGCTCGAACATGACCTCAGTTTGACCTCAATAACTCCTGACCTAAGGTGACCTAAGACTTGAAATTTGGTGTGAAGGTGTCAAATTGATGCCCGGGAAGGTACTGAAAATTTGGCGACGCTGCGCGCCGCCGTTTTCTTGCTATTCAGGAAAAACCACAGGGGGGGCCAAAATGGCCCCCCCCAACGGGGCGAGGGTTAAGCTTAAAATGCGTTGCTTCATTCATAGATAAAATGAATCATGTTATCTGCTATTATTCATGCTATTATTTCAATAATCAGGTTATTATTTATGTTATTCATGGTTCTTGTTAACTTTAGAATCAATCGACAAGTAAAAGCTAAAAGCGAAATGACCGTCAAAAATCAATTTGAAAAATTTATTTGACTGAAACTGCCATCCACGATTCATCCACAATTTAGTCCATATGAGAGTTAATATAATTCGAAACATTACCATATGAAAGCATCCAATAATATAGAATATCTATCAGGCAAAAATAGTCAATTTATGTTATACATATGCCTAACGTCATGGTTGAAATTAGAGAACTCGCGTCAGTCGCGTCACCCATTAATTTCCTACACCGGCTTAAAATGATTTTGGGAAAAAATCGCTCGAAAAAATCGTTGAGTGAAGCTAAAAAAGAAAAAAACCTGGCTGGCCCAACCCAATTTACGCGATTACTGTCAGTTTTGTTTTCATTTTAGAGAGGTGCTTTAACCCGTACCGTGCTAGTGGGCTGAAAGTGGCAATCTAAAGAGCGTAAAAAATAATGAAGAAAACACTCGGTTGTTTTTAGGTCAGGTCATTCAACAATTTTTGAAAAACTGGTGCATAACTCGGAAACCGATAGAGCTACAGCGCTGCGGAAAAGCGCACTCGATAGCCCTTTTAATGTTCTTCTTTCCATAGCGTGTTCTCACATTTGACCTCAAGTCAACGGTTCAGCCTCCGAAGGGAAATAGCTGGACATAACCGTTTTTACGAAAAAAATGTTTTGTTCTGCAACAACTTTTGATTCAAGAGAGTCACGACGATACAATTGCCAGCATCGTGTGACCGTGTCCCTCTCGTCGATACGCGTCAAATAAATCATAGTTTGAACTTACAAGGTCATTTTGAAAAAAACTGACCTCAGGTCAAGGCCATGACCCGACCGGAAAAGGTCATGTTGCCGATCAGTGGATCCGTATCGTCGAAATGAACACATCTGAGGTGTTTTCTAGCATGTCTGTATCGATAGTAACTGTAAAGAAACTGCTGGGGACTTTTTATGACCTTTGATGACCTCAGGGACATAAGGAGAGGTCACAGGTGGGGCATTCCACGTCAAATCGAACAAAAATCGGCTGTTTTGCACCTTACCATCAGCGATTTCATTATAAATTTGTGAGCGAGTTCCTGTGTGGCCCCAGACATTACATTGATGTTTTTTGCACATTCTGACCACAGGTCTTCTAAATATAGGGCATCAAATTTTTACAAAATGTTGCATCTTTATATTTTTGAACGACCATAACTTTAATTGTACTTGTTTGATTTGAATGAAATAAACCTTATTGTTTAGGTAATTTCTTAAGCATTTGTTTAGAATTGCACCTAATTAAATATATGACCTTGAAATTTGCTTAACTCTGTTCTTAAGCACAAATATTGAAATAGCAAAAAACACGTCACCTTCGATTTGGCTCATTTTCATATATTTTGTATCGAGAGTACATGAAGCTCCACGAATCAAACTATGAAAACAGTTACATTAAAGGCGCCTTTAAAGGGACACTCCCACCTTAACATTAGTTTTGAGTTGAGATAGCCAAATTGGTGGCCATGGCCTGCAAATACCGGTTTGGGCACTCACAACATCGACAAATGCTTTAATTCGGAGATATGGAATTTCAAACTTGCAGTTTTCGGATTCTAAGGGGCTAGTGCATTGGTATGCCCCCTTAGAATTTGTGACGTCAGCGGAGATCTAACGATTTTTAAATCTTTTACTAAAACGTTTGGTAGCACGCGGTGGTATATGCTGCTTTGCGCGCAACAAATGCCGCACTTTCAAATAAAGTCGCTAGGAACAGCGGAGATCCCAAAAAGTAAACAAAAGTAAAAGTCTAATATCTTGAAAACCGGTGAATATTTTTCGATGAAATTTGGTAGATATTCGTTTTCGCTCTTTCTGAACCGAGCGACATCACTTTCGTGCCAATTCATTAACTTTTTTGAAGGTGGGAGTGTCCCTTTAATGTAACTGTTTTCATAGTTTGATTCGTGGAGCTTCATGTACTCTCGATACAACCTACTTGTCCATATCATAACTACTTCATATATTTTATTGCTTACCATATTCTTAACAACCTGTGAAAAATTAGAGTGGGCCATTCATAAGTTTTGAAGAAAATTGCACATATGCAAACGTATGTCAGCACGCGCAGTGGAGGGGGAAGAACGAATTTCGCCCACCCCTCCTGTTTTTCGCCAATATCTCATAAGATCAATGCGAAATTAATTATGGCTACCTGTCAAGAATTGAATTGGACATCTCATCGTGCAAGCAATAAGAAAATCGGTTCACAACTGTTCTAGTAATAGCGGTGTAAAGTGAACATCCTGTCGCCGCAGCAACGCGGCGGCTCGGCAGCCGGCGCCGACCGCTACGCGCCGCCTGAATTGTAGACTGTGGCGGGACGGAACGGAACGGTTCCGTCTTTACATCGCGCTCCCTACCGCTGATTACGTTCGATTCGCGTCAAATTTTGTGAGAAGACTAAGAAATGTACAGGCAATCTTATGGTGAAAGAATTTTGAAAATCAGTTGGTAAACAATTGAAATATGAACGTGTAAACACAAAATTGTGATTGCTGCGTTTCCCGCATCGGCCGAGCCCGCCTCAGCCGGCGACATGCCTACTCTTAGCAGGCCTCTAACTGCCATATTTATTATTGGATTAACTAGAAATTTCCCATACATACTAAAAAATGTATGTTCTTTCGTATGGTGGAGATCAAAAGACGTGAAGATATCGTTGCGTGATAATGTTTTCGTTGAATTTACTTCATTATGCATTTCCACACGGCTCAAAATTCACCGCGAAATACCGTTTGCCTGAGACACTTTTACTATGGAACGTGAATGCTTGTCTACGATGACTATGCATTTCCATTCTCGCAGAGTTTGGGATATCACTAATCAGCAATCATTCATTTCAGAAAGTGTACACAAGCAAGCATGTCTTGACTCTGTCTTTCAAGGTCACGCGCGGTTGCGTAATGTTGATGCATGAAAACGGCGTTTGCCGCGAAAGTTATGAATGGCCCACTCCAATTTTTCACAGATGGTTAGGAACATTGTGACGGACATAATATGTAAAAATTACCCAAATCGAAGGTGACGTGTTTTTTGCTATTTAAATTTTTCCGTTTTAATTCAAGGTCGAATGCATTTCAAGGTCACTTCAATTTAATTTTACAATTAAAAATCAAAGCCTTATCAATTGCCTATAAGACCCTGTTAATATCATTTTGATACCAGAAAAGGAACCAGAGTTATAGCTATTTAAAAAATTGATGTGTGGCATTTTTTGCTATATTCAATGACCTATATCTCAGCGATACGTTATCAAATTTTGAAAATATTATACGTAACTCAGTTTTGAACAATGCCCAGTCTGCCTACAAATTTTCAGAAAAATCGAAGGGGATGACGGATTTCGGTGTTTGATTTGACGTGGAATGCCCCAGGTGCCATTTTCCGGCTCAGTGTAGCATTTTCACTTTTAACTCGGTGTTTGAGTGCTTTGACTTTGAATTTGTGAGCATTTAAACTTTTTCTGAGATAAGGTCACTTGACATAACCTGATGACCTGACCTTAAAGGGACACTCCCACCTTAACATTAGTTTTTAGTTGAGATAGCCAAATTGGTGGCCATGGCCTGCAAATACCGGTTTGGGCACTCACAACATCGACAAATGCTTTAATTCGGAGATATGGAATTTCAAACTTGCAGTTTTCGGATTCTAAGGGGCTAGTGCATTGGTATGCCCCCTTAGAATTTGTGACGTCAGCGGAGATCTAACAATTTTTAAATCTTTTACTAAAACGTTTGGTAGCACGCGGTGGTATATGCTGCTTTGCGCGCAACAAATGCCGCACTTTCAAATAAAGTCGCTAGGAATAGCGGAGATTCCAAAAAGTAAACAAAAGTAAAACTCTAATATCTTGAAAACCGGTGAATATTTTTCGATGAAATTTGGTAGATATTCGTTTTCGCTCTTTCTGAACCGAGCGACATCACTTTCGTGCCAATTCATTAACTTTTTTGAAGGTGGGAGGGTCCCTTTAAATGTCCCGGGTCTGAAATTTTCACAACATGTGCACCAAAGATGCTTGATAAGGTGTGCAAATACCTGAGGGGTTGGGCGAGAAAACGCTTTCCCAGCACGGTGCGGGTTAATTTGTTTGTCTTTTGCGCCGTTCCACCGCTAAACTTGTTTATTGTTTTGTTTGTTTTTCGAACTGAGCTAAAAGACTTACCACAAGCGTCAGCTTGCCATCTTTTCCACACACGGACCGCCTCAAATGGGCGTAGTCCTTGAGCTTCAGCCGTTGGAGTAGAGGGGAGCACCCATTGAGCCGTTCACAGAGGCCGGGTTTGCCCTCGGGCGTTTGACACGCTGACCCCAGGTCAGAGGTCACAACCGGAGGGGGCGGGGTCGTGGCCGGTGGAGGAGTCTTGAACGAGCCGCCGCCGCCGAAAATGACTGTCAGGGAAGAATGTGGTTACGGACACGATGTTTGCTAATGAGCCTTTGTTAACACGCCTACGATGACCTCCAAACAATATAGCAAAACAACAATAAATCAATAAAACAGAGCACTGGTTATCAAATGAGACGAACGCTATGATCACATAATTGCTCAATGAGCATGAGTAAACGATCAGTTACAACTTACTCTGTGCAGGCGCCAGGGAAAGACCACATGACAGCACTAGCACCAGGTTCACCAATCCATACAGCTTCCCCATTCTCCTCTGTTATCCACTCTCCCCCACCTCCTCAACTCTGTCTGCCAGTCGTCCACACTGCACCTCACACCGACGTCTCTCGTGCTACTAACCACCAGTGCCGAGTCGCAGTGAGCATTTTACTGCCGGCCGCCGGCCGCCGCGGGGCAGTTGGCTGGGACGTCCGCGCCGCCGGCCGGTCCAGGTAGATGGCATATGAGTCAGGAGTTGGGGCCGGAATAACCGTGTGCACTGCAGCGTACCGGATCGTTTACGGAATGGTGCACTGTCAGAGCGCTGATGCAAACGGGGAAACGAGGGGGGTGAGTTTGGACTGACGAGACGAGACAGGGTGACAGCTCGTTGGGTAAGGCGATTGCAAGGAACGGGAAGGCCAGCAATAGGAAATATTACAATTTACGACGGCGATGGATAGGAATGGAAGGTTAAAAGATGTGGTAGCATGTAGAATGTCGTCCTTAGTTTGGGGCTTTTAAGGCCCTGGTCATTCCAGTGAAAGTATTGTTGTATCTGTTGTTATTGTTATTGATAGGTACCTATTGTTATCCTTACTGCTTACGTCTAGGAAATGCGGATATTTTGCACTTATCCACGCTATAAATGCCTAATTTATGAGGCTATAAACCCTAATTCATAAGTCTATAAAAGCTTAATTCATAGGCAAACATGCGCATGCTCAACATCCCGTGAACTTGTTTGGCCGTGGAGATTCCCAATGTCACAGCCACATCTAAAAGTCGTCGACCACTAACGACCGTATCCAACGTCCATATCTAACTATCGGAAGCCCACAGACGTAACCGTCGAGCGGCCAAACGGTCCACCGGAATCGATGACTTATTAGGATAATCCACTGGTGGTCGAAGGCCGAGCGGTTTAGAAAAACCGCAGATTCTGGAGACTGGGGACTGTCAGCCGTTGCCAGACTTCCGCTCTTTCCACGAAAAGTCGTGGGAAATATACGTATGACGAGCATTCCGAAGATTGACGGCTCTAGTCGATGATGTCAGCATGACGATAAAGATGTTACGAGATACCTCTTAGCATGTCGTGCGGTCATGCACTATGAATGATCCGTCATGCTAGGGGAACGTGGCATATCATGACACATTCGATCTCTTTGTTCGGTTTGCCATATGATTGGGAAGGAAAACCGTGCACAAATGAACATATTATCAGGCCCGTTAGCTCAATGCTTCAGCTCCTAGCCCGAGATGAGTGAGTAGACAAATCATCAGTTTTAACGGCAGTTTAACCGTGTACCTATCTCTGCGTAGGACCAAATGTTGTAGGTTCAGGTCACTTTAGGTCGGAGGCCATGGATTCACAAACAGAAAGTATCGCCAGCTGCGGCTATTTTTACTTACAGTCACCCCCGAGTTTCGCCAGCCACGCGAAAGAACAGGTAGGTAATCGCTGATGTGAATAACAATCTAAGATGGCCTAACTGTAGTCCTCTCTCCGTCCCTTCCTCCCCATCCTTCCACTCTCGGAAACACCGCTTTCCACCCATACGCCGTCACACTTCCCTGACTCCAAATTGGGCATCACATTTGTCTTAACCATGCGCTTTATCAAGTGTACCGCGTATAACTGCGCGCCTGAGCTTCTGACACATGTCCCGAATAGCGCAGCCGGTACAGCGTTTAGCTCATTAGCGTGACTCGATAGTGACTAATAGCGGCGTGGCGCCGGCGGCCGCCGACCGTGAACAGTGACGTCAGACTATGACGCCAGAAGACTCGGCTACCTTCATGCACAGAGACGACTACGCTTTAAGAAGAGAGCTCGGAGTAGCATGAGTGGGTTTAAAGTGAGAGACCAAAGATGCACGGGGAACCGGAGGGAGGATGGACGGTTGGAGCTCCATCAATGTAGATATAGTAATAGCCTATTTATTTAACGATACCCGATCGTTTAATGTGCTTTGATGGAAAGCGTTCCAGTTTAGCGTGACTCTCTCCAAAATTTTCATTTGGGAGGGGCAATTTGACCCTCCATTCATTCTTCGGGTCGTGCAGTACCTATTTTCTTGTGCACTTATATCGATCCGTCATTTGTAGGGTCTGAGAGGTCGAACTATGAGCGACTCGAACCTAAAGTATAAAAAACAGACAAGAACTTCATTTTTGTTGAGCTTCATTTTGAATGTTCTAATAGTGCATTAGATCCTCCCCCTCCCCGCCCCCACCCCCAGGCTGTCGTGGGTACGGAAATAGCCCAGGCGGTGCAGGGTTAAGAGCCAGACTCTGGAGTATGACAAGCTGGTGACCTGATAAATAACCATCACTCGACACTTTGGACGCGCTCCGTAACCCCAACAAGCGGACAAAAAGGTTTTGATGACTTGCTTTGCATGCTATTGATTATCGGAAAGCCGCCATAACTCTAATAAAAATCTTCCTAAAATTCCACAACCGTCTCAGGAAGTCCGATGCTTTCTATTCTATAGGCTTGCATATTCTTTGTATGTACCTAGTTCTAAAAGTCAAACAATGAAAATCATGTTGAACTGTCTATTTAACTAAAGGAGTACATAAATGCGACTTACACTAACAAGATACGCTAAGCTGTACGCAACATAAATATATATTGAACCGAATCACCGGATATAACTTTCATATTGAATACATATTCGACGCATATAAGCCTTTGTGTGATATAAATAAATATGCTGATAAATACAAGTCTCCCATACAATAATACGCACGCTTCATACCAACCCACACGGCCAAACTGTGAGCAAGCACCAGGGAACCCCAATAAGCCTGTATATGTGACTTTTCCCATGCAAAGATCCCTCCATCAGAAATTATGCACATAATTCATATTAACGGTGGAGTGGAGATCGGAACGCCGGAATGTGTGCATTTGATATCGTAGTACACCGAATAACTAGGAAAGCACTGAGAATGATCATGGCCCCTTAAACACGATGCCGTAATAATGGTAGCTGAGACCCAATCCATAACATTAAACATAGACATTATGCAAAAAAAAACATACAAAATAATGCCAGCACTGCATGTCACACAAAAATGCCGAATATTCATTAGCCACCGCAGTGCAAACTTTCCCAAACATAGCGAATGCTATATGCATTGCGATTCACCATAAAGCTACCACTAATGGCAGATTTTTCTGATCCCCAACCTACCAAATACAGCAGCTGCACTACACCAAAGCATCACGCTGCACTATGCGTACACAATTATACACACTCCTTTCAGGCAGTTGAGGTAAAACGCCATGCAGTTCACGCTGTGAGTAACGATCCGACTCCGTTCCGAATATTGTGCTGTGTCTGGAGCAGTGCGGTCTCTCTCTCTCTCTCTCTCTCTCCTCTCTCTCCTCTCTCTCTCTCTCTCTCTCTCTCTCTCTCTCTCTCTCTCTCTCTCTCCTCTCTCTCTCTCTCTCTCTCTCTCTCTCTTCATCTCCTTCGTTTCTTCCCCTTCCGCTCCCATTCAGTAGATGAGCCGAATAGAGCCCTGGTCGGATCCCAACAACAGTAGTCGGTTGGCCCTCAGAAGTGCAATCGACGACAGGGCACCTGAAAACAACAGGGATACTTGTTGGGACAGAACAGCAGCTAGTCTCCTGACAATATTATAGCTGCTATTCATGGCTATACGCTACCATATATTTGTCACATATGCCACATATGCTACATATGGCTATACGACGTCTTTACAATAAGTAGGCTCGTAAAATCAAGCTCTGACTTGAATGCTTCGTTCAGTTTAAATATTAGAAACTATACCTTCAAAAAAAGAAACCTATCAGCAGCGAAGAGTTCGTGTGTATGACGTGTATGACGCGTATGATGGTTTAACGCATATGATGAGCATTTATGCCATAAATGAGCTATGCAATAACGAAGACGAGAAAGATAGATACAGTCATGGTTGATAATTAGAGGGTGGGCTGAA